CTTCCGATCAAACGTTATTTAGACGAACACATGCCCATGAGCTCGAGTGGAGCAGGACCAGTTCGTATCTGGGGCACGTCACCGGACTCCATTGATGCGGCTGAAGACAGAGAGAAGTTCAATATTATGCTTAATGATCTGAGAATCGAGCAGCCGAAAGGCGGAATTGCAAAGAGCGAAGCTGATGCTCTCGCCATCGCGAAGGATATAGGTTACCCGGTTGTTGTGCGGCCTTCTTACGTTTTGGGTGGACGGGCTATGGAGATTGTGTACGACGATGCTAAGCTCATAACGTATTTGGAGAATGCAGTTGAAGTTGATCCAGACCGACCCGTTTTGATCGACAAGTATCTGTCCGATGCCATCGAGATCGACGTTGATTGCCTTGCTGATTCCTATGGAAATGTCGTTATCGGTGGGATAATGGAGCATATTGAGCAGGCGGGCGTTCATTCGGGTGATTCCGCTTGTATGCTTCCCACACAAACGATCCCGTCTTCTTGCCTGCAAACCATAAGGTCGTGGACCACGAAGCTGGCGAAGAAGCTGAACGTATGCGGGCTCATGAATTGTCAATACGCGATCACGACCTCTGGGGACGTTTTCTTGCTTGAAGCCAATCCCCGTGCTTCCCGTACCGTCCCGTTTGTCTCGAAAGCCATTGGCCACCCTCTTGCCAAGTACGCGGCCCTGGTAATGTCGGGAAAATCGCTCCAAGACCTGAACTTTACGGAAGAGGTAATCCCGAGGCATATATCCGTGAAAGAAGCTGTATTCCCGTTTGAGAAGTTCCAAGGCTGCGACGTGATACTCGGCCCGGAGATGAGAAGCACTGGAGAAGTAATGAGCATCAGCAACAAGTTCTCGAGCGCTTTCGCCATGGCGCAGATCGCAGCGGGACAGAAGCTACCCTTATCGGGAACCGTCTTCCTCAGCTTAAATGATCTGACAAAACCCCACCTCGGGAGAATCGCAAAGTCCTTCACCGAGCTCGGGTTCAAGATCGTGGGGACTTCAGGGACAGCTCATTTCCTCGAACTGGAAGGAGTTTCGGTGGAGAGGGTCTTGAAGATGCACGAGGGGAGGCCGCATGCTGGGGACATGGTGGCTAACGGGCAGATCCACGTGATGGTGATCACGAGCTCGGGAGACGCTCTGGATCAGAAAGACGGGCGGCAGCTGAGACGGATGGCTCTGGCATACAAGGTGCCGGTCATAACCACGGTGGCTGGGGCCTTGGCCACGGCTGAAGCCATCAAGAGCCTGAAGTCGAGTGCCATCCAAATGATTGCCCTCCAGGACTTTTTCGAGGTCGAGGTAAGAAAAAAACAGATGAATCCCTTCTTTCCAAATCTTGGCTAAGTGTCTGCGATCTTCAGTAGCTGAAGCTGCATTTGAAAAACAAAATGGCAGGGAAGGGCTTCTTCTTCAGCTGCCGTCCGACAAGGATCTTCTGTCTGAACCCATCTGACGAGGATTCTATCGAGGGCCCCACTTGAAGCTCTGTGAACTCAGGTATTAATTACAATACACAGTAACACAGCTTCTACGCCCTCTCTTCTCCGATTCTCCGTTGTCTGTTTTTGTCGTTAGAATCTATGTTTTGACGGTTCATTCTTTGTTGAATCTCTCTCTCCATATATATATATGTATGAGGATCATTTCATATATATATATATATATATCAAATTCGACCAACAAAATAGTGATTATTTGATAGATATATTGAATTTAAATGGTATTTTCGTAATTTCGGAACATAGCGTAGATTATTCGTCCGACCGTTGCGCCGATTTTGTATCGTCAGTTTATGTAAACTCGAACTAACATATTTCGATATGAATAATGGCGTTGGGATATGCATTAGGTAACGAATTGTGAGTATAAACACGGCTTTCTCAGCCGTTGTAACTTGTAACAGTGATTATGAAAGAAACTATATATTATACGTGGGAGGTACGATGCGGTGGTAGGTTGTACTCCACTCAGTGCCCACTTGTACATAAAATTCTCAAAAATAATCATCGATTTAATTCCATTCTAAAATTTTCAAAAAAAAATGTCATTGATTTAATTCCATTATATTCCCCCAATCATGCATGCACGTACTCAGTGTTTCCTGTTCACCAACCCCGAAAGAAAAAAAGATATTAGCCTGGTTTCATCAATTTTATATAAATAATTTAAATAATTAAATCTGATTTTAGTAATATTCAAAATATGCTACTCGGAGCATACAAAAAAAAAAATTATTTGGTTCCTCGTGAATTTGGGCTCATATCCATAACCAAAACGTGTTTGAACATAATGTTTCAATGACCGGTTTGGTTATAATCCGATTTTATAAATTACTGTATAATTTTTTGTTCCAGCCCTTGAATTTGCACGGATAATACGAACAAAACTACAGTATATACCAATATCTTTTTCATTTTACGTTTTCTTTATAGTTTTAAGTTACATGTATGGAGCGAAAAAGTTTGATGAATTTTCCGAAAAATAAATTATAATCACGTGTCTTGATAAGCTATAATCGGACGGGATTACAATTTAATAATATGGACCGACGGATAGATAAATCTATAACAGAAATAAACACGAGCGAATACTGACTTTGTAAGTGAAGAGGTTTCTCATTGTGGGAAACTGGCTGTAACGTTACTGCTTCGTTTCCGTGTGGGTCTCTTTCCTTTTTCATCTAAAAGAAATTCAAATCAATAATATCTTATAAAATGGAAAAATAATTTATCCTTTTTAATAAATAAAAAATAAAAATAAAAAAGCAAAATCAACAGTCCTAAGCGATATATATCGAAACCAAATAGTTGTATGTACTAATCAACAAGTTACAAAACCGATCTTGGAATGGGAATTAATATAGTCAATCGGTCAAAATATATCATTTATTCGGTTCACAAAAGCTTAGGTTACATCATTAAATCTTAGTCTAAAGTCCTTTGGAATGTTTATTTATTGTAGTCAATGGTATTTTTTTTAGTTGATATATACATACTTGGCACAAATCCAAGCATTTGCCTCTTTGCAAGGGCAACAACATATATACATCATTTCATACGAAATACACAGGTATGTCATATACATATATACCGATATACGTATATATCTGAAAATTTGTTTTATTTATACATATGTTGAGTCAGTGTAATATTGAAATTTGTATATTATTTCATTTCTAATTTGATTTGATTTCGTTTTTCTTTGAAGTTTTCTCGAAAAATTATGATGTATATATATAAATTTTGGTTTTTTATTTGGAAACACATCAGTATCATCAATGAGACTTCTCAACCAATAATCAAATTCTATTAACAGATTAGTATCAATGTCACGGTATGGTCGCATTTATTGAGCAACCAAAACTAACAACTTACTAATAATTACAAGTTTGAACGTACGAATGCCGTATGGCTTACATATCTATATATATGTATGTATGTATGTATATGCGGGTGTGTGCATGGCGCATGCGAGGCGATCTTTGACCCATATATCATATATTAAATAAGACTTGTAAATGTCAAATTTATAAGTTAATGCATATACAAATCAATTACATATTACAAAATATTCATCCAATTTTTAAATATATATATATATATATCAACATTGTATATGAAGTGTTTTTTTTAGAGGTACGATTCCAAAGGTCCACGCGCAATCGACTTCTTTGAGGGACAACACACACATACACTCACACTCACACTGGCAGGCAGATACTAATAATAACAAGATAGTAAATTATTAAAATAAGCATGTTACATATATATATATATATGTGTGTGTGTATGGGTATGTATATGCATATGTATATATGTATATATGTATATGTATATGTATAGGGTAAATATTAGTGGGGGCAGATAAGTGAAGATTAGAGAATAGTAATAAGCATAAGAGTCTAATCAGTACCACCTTAATCTGTCTTTTATTTATTTATTTATTTTCTTTTAAATTAAGAGAGTCTAAACTCTGCTTTTTCCACAAGTTAGAAATTTTGGAGCTTTCGGATTGGAAGTCTCTTATTAATTTGTTTAATTCTGTTCTTCAATTATATTTTTTCTTTGGCTATAAAGGAAGTAGCTTGACAAATCCCTCGTCCGGTTTACATTCAGCCTATTAATTTGTCTGCAGTACATATATATATATATATATATATATATATAATAAAATTTCCAAATACGTTGGAATATATAAATGTGGATACAAAACTATATATATATGTATCATCGATTAATATATTGCGTACTTAAATCACACGGTGGAATTACAAATAATTTATACAAATATTTAGCGTCGCGTAAAATAAATTCTTTTTTTTTTTGTTGCCATCTCTTTATAAATTCTATTACCATTTAAAAGTTTCTTCTAGAAATTAATAAAAATGGCAAACTTAAAGACTTTCTCGTTAGCACTTCAAAATCAAAGGAACCCTTTTTTTTTTCTAACTTCATGTGTCCAACGAGCTGACCAGTTTCCACCAAACTAATCCAAATTCTGTCTCCCATTAACTAATTTCCACATTTATCAGAATCGAAATTATAATTTTATTTCAAGAATTATATAACCAAAGTCTAGTATAGTAATACTGATGAACTTTTGACCAATTGATATAAAGTACAAAACCACCTAAATACGAAAATAATTTATTTATTTTTAAATAGCCGAAATATAAACTGTGAAATTAGATAAATCAACCGTTGAAACGGAAGACGAAAGGAAGAGGAATTTAGGAGCCACCGTAGTGTCGAAAAAGTATTTACAAAATGTGACGGCATAATTCGGGTTTTATGACGTCATGTAGCGTCCATTTACAATTATTTTTTTGGCAAAGACCTCAGCTTGTCTTTCTCTCTCTATATATATCACCCTCCGTCTTTCGCAGCAAAGCACCCCACCTCAGAAAAGCTCCCACAATATCTCTCATTTAAACCCCCACAATTTACGATCCGATCAATTTACCCCCCCCCCCACAACAGAGTAAACCCTCTGATTAGAGAATAATTAAGTAAATCAACATGCTTAAGATGGAGATTAACGGCGACACTGCTACCCCCTCTCCTCCTTCCAATATCTCTTCTCCTCCTTTTCCGGCTTCACCCCAATCGCAATCGCAAACGCAGGTGGTCATGAGCCCCTGTGCGGCGTGCAAGATCCTGCGGCGGCGGTGCGCCGAGAAGTGCGTCTTGGCGCCGTATTTTCCTCCGACGGAGCCAACGAAGTTCACCATCGCCCACCGCGTCTTTGGCGCGAGCAATATCATCAAGTTCTTGCAGGTATAATAATATCACTTCTGTTTCAAAGATCATGTGTGTTCACACGTGTCTGTTTCTCAAGATTTATATGAACATTTATACATATATATGTATATATTGCCATGAGGAAAACTATGGGAATTAAAAGGTTTTTTTATTTTATAACACATATTTTAGTTGATCATTCTAGTAGATTTCGTTTTTTTAATAAAAATTAAGGATTTTTTCTTAATTATAAAAAGTTAAAAGTTTGGAACTTTAGTAATGAACAAAGATTATAATATAATAGATGAATATCCGAGAATGCATAATGTGAAAAAGAATATTTATGCAGTTTAGGCTATTTTGTTATATATATATATATAATGGATTTATAGGTCATGTGGGAATAGGACCTACTTGTTATAAATGTCAATAACAACCCCAAAAGCCGGTATCTCTCTCAAGCTCCATCCATATTCAACGAAAAGTATATACATACATACAGATATATATAAATCCCTTAAAACATCAATATATACATACAGTACAGGTGTCTCTATATGTATGGCTCAATTTATCTACACATGTTTGGAAAGAATGTCTCTTTCTCGTCGATCCAACTTTGAAACATGTATAGCGGAATTTTCTTTTAAAGGTCAAACATATCAAAACCAGCAATTTCATCAATGGAAGCTCTTGTGGGTTGGACCGCCCATCATATTATGAACACCTAATCAATGTCGAAATCGCATACAAATGTAGTCAAACACTGTCCAAATCACAACTAACGCAACGTTTTCTTCATTCTTTATGTTCGCAGGATCTTCCCGAATCACAGAGAGCCGACGCAGTGAACAGTATGGTGTATGAGGCAGGAGCCAGGATAAGGGATCCTGTGTACGGAAGCGCAGGCGCCATTTACCATTTGCAGAGACAGGTGAGCGAGCTTCAAGCCCAGCTCGCCAAAGCGCAGGTCGAGCTGGTGAGCGTTCAGCTCCAAAGAGCGAACCTGCTGGCATTGCTTTGCAACCAGCCGAACGTACAAGACCAATTAGGACCGTACAATCATCTCTCCTCCTCCTTTGAAAGCGGTGATGATTTCATTAGTAGTCCTGATGAAGAGAGCAATGATTTGGGTTATTTCCTCGATGACAACACCAACTCGTCCATGTCTTGGTGGGATCATCCCCTTTTGACATGATCATGATGACGATGATATGATGATGGTGATGATGATGATGATAGGACACAAAAGCTTTAGTAGTTAGCTTGATTTAGTTATTATAAAAAGACCCAGAATATGTTATATATGTGTATGGGTAATTTTCGGAGGTTCGGATATTAGAGTGATTTCAAGCAATCATATTTTAACACGTCAGCTAAGTTGCTGGAAAACTTCTGCAACATTGTAAAAGATATATATATGTATGTATGTATATATATCTTCTGACGTGTTAATATGCGATGATAGTGTTGACGGAATGGATAAGATGTCTGAAATGTGGCAGAGGAGGTAGCCGTAAGAGATTCTGAAGATGTACACTCTTAATTAACTCAGGAGCCATGTGGGCTCAAAACTGAGAAGGCGATCTTTTACATTATAATAATTAAGTTTTAATTTTATAGTTTCTATTTATTGTCTTGTATGACAGCAACTAATGAATGAAATTGATAAATTATCGGAAAATGATTTATTTTGTAGAAAATCAGAAATTCCTTCTTATATGTAAATAATATAAAATAAATATGAGATAAATAATAAAAAATTTCAAGGGCTTGGAAAGGAGATGTGAAGATTTGACCCAATCCGGCGAGGGGAAAAAAGACAATGCATCTGCCCATGTTGGTTATTAAACATCGCACGTGCGTTTCATGTGAGCATATGGGTACACGTTATGTATTGTGTGTGTATATGTACATATAAACAAAATGCATGCATGCATGTATGTATGTACATGCATAGGTGTAAATCAACTGTTGTTATTGGGATAGCTTTTTCTGTTGCCATCTTGGGATAACTAATCTCTAATCATGGTGTTTGCAGGGTGTTATCATTATTTCGGATATTCACCTTAATCATTATGTTTTTTGTCTCCCATAAAAGAACCTTTAGATGATTTTATCATTTTTCTAAATCTTTATGAACACATTTTGCTAATATATGATAACAAATTATAATTATTATAAATTAATAATTATAATTTGTTATTAATTTACAGGGATAAAACCGAATCCTACATTTTACATGTTGCACAAAAATAAAATATATGACACGAATATTGACTTCAATTTATACATTTTTTCACACATCATGTGCATCCCACGTGACTGTCATGTCAAGGAAAACAAGACAAGAGAGTTTCGTTACTTGTCGGCACGAGAGGTCTACGTAACTTTAACCATTCGTGAAACTGCAAAACAAAACATATTAAAATAACAATTTCGCTAGCAAAAAGAATTCGTAGTTTTTATTTATAATTAAATGTATACAATTATAAAATTACACGCAATTATCAGGGAAGTATTTTGTCGTACAATCTTCAAAATTACAAAATTAGATGGGAGAAATAATAATAAAAAAAAAGCCAAAGAATCTTTCTGGTGACAAAAAAAAAACCTAGTGTATTTAGTCTCGCTTTTCCTCACCCGACATGACACGATTTTCCATGCTTGAACCCGAAGTCATTTTTTCCTCTTTGACTCGGGGAAACTAATTATGTTCTTCATAGAAAACAATTTTGTCACATCGAATATCAAATGGATTTCTACCCAATAAATTTAAATTTATTTTTGAAAATCGTTATTCCAGCATGGTAACACGACACATGAAATTATATTTTAATTTATTTATATAATTGGGAAACAACCGCATTTTTTTTCTCTGAATATTGGGCCGGGATGGAAAGCAGCAGTATCAATAGTAATTTCCCTTGTATTTTCAGGTTCTTTTCAAAAACAATATATCCCCATAATTAAAAATGCATTCACATTAGGTTAAGTAAGAAAAGGACGTAAAAGTTTTAAGAGGTTTAATCCAAGGATTAGAACAATAATGTTATTTTTTTCTTTTAAAAATCAGGATTGTTAGAAACTATTGATAGGGGTTGAAGTCAATTAGGAAATGAACATGAAATGATTACAGAAATTTATCTGTCAAGTCCTTTTGTTATCATAAGTAGCCGAAAGGAGAAACACACAACAATTGGTTCATCTTATAATTTATATTTGCATAATTGCGTTAGTTATATATATATTGAATTTAATTTAAATTGTTTTTACTCTACTATAGGAGTAATTACATTTTCATGTGACGCAATGCATCGCGCCCTTATTGTACTCCCCTTTATAACTGCACTTGATTTAAAAGTGTAAAATATGACTATTTAAAATGATAATTACGCTAATAAGTTTTTTTTAAAAAAAAAAATCAAATGATGCTATATATTATCAAACACGGAGAGGATTCAACTTGCTCCCATGATTGAAAAATGACAAGGTACTGAAAACGATATAACAAAATTCTTCTTAATCAATACATCGCATGAAGCATATGTTTGTGTGAACTTATAACGAGAGTCGTTTCGAGGAAAGAACCTTACGTGTACATCCAAGCATATATCGCCAAAAGGGTATCTGAATTGGATAAAAATAAAATTTTACATATACGTATAATGACATATATATATATATATAATATGCGTCAAAAGTGTATATATAAATCCAATAAGTTATAACATGTAGGGCACGCATTAAATTACCAATGGGAACCAAGGCACCATATCTAAGGATATATGTTGCTTTAGCCTATAAGATAGTGGTTCCCATGGTGAATAAGACAACACTAACATGATAACATTTATATTAATTGACTTATCGACTTTATTGTTTTTGTCTCTCTAATTGAATTTTTTGCATCCTCCAAATTAACTCAAAACACTTTCTGAGTTTTGTCAAAAGAGAATGAAGTTTCTAACCGAAACCCTTTTCCTTAAACTTACTTTGTCTTTTTTTTTTTTTGAGACCTCGTTTCTACGCTCTTATTTTCCAATCGTTCATACAAACCTTTATTTCGGTCTTGGTATATTAAATAGTCAATTACTATAAAAATTCACGATAATTTGCTTTTGAGTTTTGACGTAATGTCGGCACATGCACACGTCTACATTGTTTATACATATTCTTGCCCGTGTCTGTACGTATATACGCATAGTGGGATATCTAGCAACCAAAGTTTCCGAGTGCATTGCATGAGATTATGTATAATTAGGAATGAAATATCTTATTTATGCTCTAGAATATATAATCATGGTTTCCTAATTCCTATTGGCGCATTGGTTGAAATATAATTTACTCCACGAATCATTTCATTTTCTCTCGTATCATCATCTCTCCGATTTCCCGTATACTATTTCGAGTAATTAAACAAGAAAATGTATTAAAAGATTATTTCCTTTTTTGTGTGTCGGTCTTCAACGTAGATAGAATGAATTCATGCCCAATTTAATATCCTATGCGCGTGGAAAACAATTGGGCGCAGCCTTTTCATATTTCGTATGTCTCCCTTTTCTCACTGCAGTCCATAGATTGCATGGATCCCTTAAAATTTTCACACTTTTTTTTTTGTAAAGGTGAATTTTATAAATGAAAGAATATAAAAGGTGAATTTTATAAACAAAAGTGAATTTTCACTCTTTTGTTTCTTCTATAAAGGATAAATGGTTTTTTTTTTTAAAATTAAATTCAACTTATGCGCGTGCTTTGAAATTTATGTATCATTTACTAAACAAAAGAACTTAAGAAGAAATAGTATACATAAATAATATTCTTTATCATAATACGAAAATATATAAAACCATCTCTAAAGTCCGATTTAGATCGGTTATTTGTTATGTTAGATCGATTCAGATTACGTGGTGTTTTTATTTGTGAAGACTATATTAGTAAAAAAAACAAAAAATTAATGTTTATATTAATGCATTATTTATGAGATTAATTTTCAGATAAAAAAGTATAAACTGAAATTCAGCATTTTATACGGCGCTAGGAAGCAAGCCATTGAGATTTTCGATCTTCTTACGACCCGTTGGACTACAAACTAAATTTTCTTGTGGACTATAATAATAAGGAAAAAAATCAAAATAAAATTTGTAAATATATTTAGTATAAAATAAATGGAATAACATAAAATGAATTTTAAGAAGATGAAAAATAAAAGAATTAACATAATCATTGTTTTTAGGCCCAGGTGAAACCGCGTTTGTGCCTTTCCATTGATATTCGCGATGCGTCACGTTGTACGATAATTTATTTTTGTTTTCATTGAAAAACGGCCTAATTACGACACTTGTTTAATAAAACAATTTTCACATTGAACATTGATTGGCTATAACAATTCAAGGAAATGATTTATGGAAAGTTTACTTAAAGTATCTAAATTAAAAAAAATAATATCTGATTATTGAAGATTGATTATATTTGAATTGTTTGTTCTCTAGCTAGCGTTGATTTATATAGCAAAAATTGATTTATATAACAAAAATTCCCCACAAAAAAGTGGTTTTAAATTTTTTTTACAACTAAAATAAAACAAATTTCTGAAAAGAAAAATTTAAAAAGGGGTAAGTGTGATAAGTATAAGTTGATTATTGCGTTCGGCTTTGGCGCTTTGCATGACTTACTCCGTACTTTGTTCATATGACTCAAGTGTCAATTCAATTGACAATTATATAAATTATTAAATTAATTTTGTATTAATTATAATATGCATATCCGATATCCCTCACCCAACAATAATAATAATAATAATAATATCAACAATTCAACAACTTTACTATTATATAATTCACTGTGGCATGGAATGAGAACATATGTGCGTACAAAAATACCGTTTAACAAACGTTGACCGTTTGCCAACAAATTGAAAATAACCAGACCCGTCTTATCAATGCGATATTTGTTAAACTAAAACAATTAACATGGCATAGTATTGCAGTAAATAACATATCATTCTTGATTAAATCGGTTATTTAATATCCGAAAGATAATTGGATCGTCACTCGGGACTCCTAAATCTCATACTGTAACAAAATTTAATTTTTAATTTCATTTTAATAAAGGTTACTCGTTATAACGGAATTTAAATTTATTGTGTGTAAACTAAAGTCGGAGAGATAAAGTCAACCAGTCCAAGCAAAAGCATACACGTGCATGTAAGTATTCTTGGTTAGGTAATTCGAGTTAGACGATTACAAAATACAAAAAAAAAAAGGAAAAATAAATAACAGTTATTTTTCCGGCCTTGTTTTTATAAACGGTAAAAATGATTTGTAACTGCGGGCATTTGACCTTCATGGAAAAAAAAAATCAGTAATGCTGAAGGGTCTTTCGATTTGGATTGTCGTCTCCAATATGTTTGGAACTGTTGAATTATACGTACGATTTGTGGGACATTTTTTCAACATAGAATTTTTGGAAAGTTCAATCACGATTTTCCAATATTCAAATGTAAATGTATTAAATGAGATTTCCGGACATTAAATTCGACATAATTGGATTCGGATAATCTCTTGTTCACGTAACAAAAGAAACAAATATATTTTTTTACGCACAAGAACATGACGTTCAAACATTTTGCAAATGAAATGACATAGTTATAGCTAGAATTCGAAATCGAAATATTTCGTGATATTTTTGTAAAGTAAAAAATTCACATAAATTATATTCCCTAATAATAAATAAATCAACTCATATCTCACGCGACATTCTAACATATATAATGTCATTTTTAGTTTTTTTTTTATCTGGCACTGTTATTGCAATCCAGAGCTTATGGGCCTTATATATATTGTAAGCCCATTGGTCTTTATGGCCCATAATGTGATTTAATCTTTCTCCTCCGCCTCTGTCATCCTTCACCTTCAGTTTCTCTCTCTCTTCTGATCGGCCATCTTTTCTCGGGAAAATTTGGGAACGATTGAACTTGATTTTCCGGCCATGGCGCTCGCAGCTTGGCGCGCTACTCTTGTTGTTATGCTGCTTCCTGTTCTTGTCCTCCTGCTTCTTCCGGTGGACTTAACCAAGGCGGAAGTCATAACCCTAACTCCTGAGACTTTTTCCGACAAGGTAAGGATCAGTGTCAGGATTCTTGTCTTCTTTTCATCTGTCTCTCCATTAATTTCTTTCGCTAGAAATCCGGTAGATGAAGATCTTTTTTCACGTGCCGCAGCTGTGATGCAAATTAAGTTTGTTTTAGCGCGATCTGTGTCGGGGTCGCGTGTTTATGGTTGTGGTTTTTGATCTATCGGGAGATTGGAGATTCTCAGGATCTCAGTTTTGTTTCTGCCAGATGTTTCGCTTGCTTGGATTATCGACCGACGATTAGTATCTGATCAGCGATATTTTCTATGTCGATTCTTTTTATTGCTGCTGCCGCCGGATTTCATTATGTATTGCTCATAGGCTACTGGTTTCATTGAATAATAAAAAATCAACCTTTAATATCTATGTCTGTTTAGTGTAATCATCTCCTCAATCTGTAGTTCAGTTTCTTTCAAGTAAATTTCCAAGGTAGCTGGACTTGAGATGTTTCTATGTATAGGTTTATTGCAGTTGCAATCTTACTTTCATCTTGAGCAACGAGATCACACCTAAACATGTCTATTTGATTCAGGTGAAGGAGAAAGACACTGCATGGTTTGTGAAATTTTGTGTTCCCTGGTGCAAGCACTGGTTAGTATTTCCTCGTTTCCTTTCAGAGTAATTTAGGCTTGTTTTCTTTGTATTGATGCTGATTGCGAATCTGGGTGTCAGTAAGAATTTGGGAAATTTGTGGGAAGAGCTGGGAAAAGCAATGGAGGGGGAGGATGAAATCGAGATTGGTGAAGTTGATTGTGGAACAAGCAGAGCTGTTTGCACTAAAGTTGATATTCACTCATATCCTACATTTAAGCTGTTCTACAATGGAGAAGAAGTAGCAAAATACCAAGGTGATTGATTCTTCCATCATCTTCCTCCAATATGATTGCTCTCCTTTCCATTTGTTCCAGCTTCCGTTGCGTGCTTCCTTAGTCTCTGATCTTGCTTCATGGTTGATATTTTTATTATTCCCCACTTGGCAATTGGCATGAGAATCTTACGTGGCAGACTTCTGTTCCTTCATGTTTTTTTTTTTTTTTTGCAATTTGGCCGCACATTTCTCTCTGTCTTAGACATTTTAGGCTTCCAATTCCTTTGAGATACATGTCCTATCAGCTATAACAGAGATGAAGGTGTCTGGTTCATCAGCTGCACCTCGATATGCATTTGATTTTCATACATGGGAATTTGGAAATTTCTCGAATCCAATTCTTCTTGGCCTGACAAATCTACTGGATAAAATAATGGGCGTGAACCTTCATGAGCAGGAGAATGCAGATTAGTTAGTGTTACCGTAGTCCATCTGTACTGTGTATGCTTCTTGGCTATGAATTTGCAGATATATTTAGAGGAACCTGACCACTTCAAATCTCTCCACAGATTAGTTATGGGGACATTTTATTTTATGTGATGTGGTAGGATCATCACACAAGCAAACTGGATGGAGGATATAACTTACATACAACTGGACTAAGCATACAATGTTAGTGATGATAGATAGGGGGTGTGATTCGTCTCGTATAATAAAATTATAGCAAAACCTTTCTACTGTTGGGTCTGGTTATGGTTAACATGCTCCCAATACTACTGTTTGGAAACACCGTATCCATATGCTAACCTGTTAGTGATCAATGGGTAAACTCCAGGAAAAAGAGACGTTGAGTCGCTCAAGGCGTTTGCTCTGGAGGAAACAGAGAAGGCGGCAGAGAAAGCACAGCTTGAAGACAAGGAATTATGATAAAAGCTCGTCATTAACCCTAGAGGTAAACCGGGATTTCGCTACACAAAGTGCTCCTGAAGAGTTCCTTTGAGGTTTTTGGTTTACTCATGTGTTCATTCCCCCATTCTTTCTCAATCTTAAACAGATGGAGACACATGGAGAGCACTCGCAACTGGTGGAACTCAACTCCCCAGCGTTTGTGTCCAAAGGAGTTGTGTGATCCCATCAAAAGTGCTTTAGCTCAGAAAGCAAAACAGTTTCCAACGTTTTCTTGCAAGCGTTTTTTTTTTGTTACTTACCAACCTTCATTTTAAACACAGAACTCTAGGACATAGATTCAACTTCACGTAGTAAAAAATTGTTTCGTTCGTTCTGGTCCTATTTTTGCAATCGTCTATTCAAACGTTTTTACGACCATTTTCACTGTCAAATTATACAGGGAATGAGTTTGAAAATTTTAGAATAAGAGGCAAACGCAGGATAGACCAATACACAACATAACTGAAAAAAGATGTAAATATTTTAAAAAAGGTAACAGAATATAACCATGACATAGTTCGCAAAACTGCATCGGTCCAGCAACACACAAAAACAGAGAGTACGGCCTAACAACTCAACGGCGAAAACCGACTCTTTCAAACGGCAATAAACTTCTCTCACTTGGCACCCTTCTTGGCTGCGGCCTTGGTGACCTTAGCACCCGTCGGGTCCTTCTTCTCGACGTTCTTGATGACACCAACCGCAACGGTCTGCCTCATGTCACGGACAGCAAATCGTCCAAGCGGTGGGTACTCGGAGAAGGTCTCCACCACCATGGGCTTGGTCGGAACCATCTTAACCATTCCTGCATCTCCGTTCTTCAAGAACTTGGGCTCCTTCTCCAGCTCCTTACCAGAACGCCTGTCGATCTTTGTCAATATCTCTGCAAATTTGACGGCGATGTGGGAGGTGTGGCAGTCGAGGACTGGGGCATATCCGTTACCGATCTGACCGGGGTGGTTCATGATGATGACCTGTGAGGTGAAGCTGGCTGCTTCCTTGGCCGGGTCATCCTTTGAGTTTGATGCGACGTATCCACGCTTGAGATCCTTCACTGCAACGTTCTTGACGTTGAACCCTACATTGTCACCAGGGAGAGCTTCCTGGAGAGCCTCGTGGTGCATCTCGACAGACTTGACCTCAGTGGTCAGTCCAGAGGGAGCAAAGGTCACTAACATACCGGGCTTGAGTACACCGGTCTCGACACGACCCACAGGGACAGTTCCGATACCACCAATCTTGTAGACATCCTGGAGAGGGAGACGTAGGGGCTTGTCGGAGGGTCTCTTGGGCTCGTTGATCTGGTCAAGAGCCTCGAGAAGGGTCGGACCCTTGTACCAGTCGAGGTTGGTGGACCTCTCAATCATGTTGTCACCCTCAAAACCAGAGATGGGGACGAAGGGGATCTTGTCCGGGTTGTAACCAACCTTCTTCAGGTAGGAAGAGACTTCCTTTACGATTTCATCGTACCTAGCCTTGGAGTACTTGGGGGTGGTGGCATCCATCTGTTGCACACCGATGATAAACAGAGATCAGACCAAGTCAGATTTTGAAACAAGTTACAAACTACAATTACAGAACAGGGAACACATCATAGTTAATACAATATACCTTGTTGCAGCAGCAGATCATCTGCTTGACACCGAGGGTGAAAGCAAGCAAGGCGTGCTCACGGGTCTGACCGTCCTTGGAGATACCGGCCTCAAAACCACCGGTGGTGGAGTCAATGATGAGGACAGCACAGTCAGCCTGGGAGGTACCAGTGATCATGTTCTTGATAAAGTCACGGTGTCCAGGAGCATCGATGACAGTGCAGTAGTACTTGGTGGTCTCGAACTTCCACAGGGCTATATCAATGGTGATACCACGCTCACGCTCAGCCTTGAGCTTGTCCAACACCCAGGCGTACTTGAAGGACCTCTTGTTCATCTCAGCAGCTTCCTTCTCAAACCTCTCGATCACACGCTTGTCGATACCCCCCAACTTGTAGATCAAGTGACCAGTGGTGGTCGATTTTCCAGAGTCGACATGTCCAATAACCACAATGTTGATGTGAACCTTTTCCTTACCCATGACTACTTGTCAAGAAGAAACTGCAACACAAATAATAAATAACCAAATGGTTAGAACTATGTACCAGAAAGTATTCGCAAGAAATTTCAAGTCAACAATGCAGCGAACGTGTAGCAGAATCAACACAGAGGAACGTAAAGCCTTTGAAAAGGGCAAAATACAGTTCTTATATCATGAAACACGCACATCAGGACACAGATTATTTATGATTCTTCTATCAAATAAATGTATAACTATCATGAGAAACGAGATTACAGAAGCATCGCGCATATGGATTAACAAGTATCCGTCCAACAATTACTGTACAAATTTCAGTAAGATCTCATAGAAATTGCTTTGAAACAAACCATCCTTAAGAATAATCATGTCCTTGGGATTCTTAAAAACCTATAATTTGCAGAATAAATCAAAAGGTGAGAAACATCGATTCTCCACGAACTGGTAATCATCACTATGGAGGTATCATTCGAGCTCAAGAAAAGAACAAAAGATGAAAAAACAACTCATTCTCCACGAGAACATATCAAACAAACAATAAACTGAAGAACACGAAGCTAAAAACGAAGACCAAATTCGAGGATCTGAGACATACCAGGACAAAGAAACGAAAACCCTAAGAGTTCTCTCTCAGCGCCGTAAGAGAGATGGGGCTTTTGCGGAGCGAGAGAGCAAGAAGGCGAATAGAGGTAACAGAAGCTGAGATTTAAAGGGACGAGGAGCTAGGGTTCATTTGCTAGGGTTTCTCTTTGCGCCGTTGGATCTGCACTTCTCTATCTGACGGTGGATATTCTGAGTTGACACCACGTCGCAACATTTTCGTGATTACCCATTGTATTATATTTATATGGATACGGTATGTCGGGGAAATCAATTTCTAGCCGTTGTATAATAAAAGTGAAAGATTCAGTGGACCGAAAATATTCAATTTTTTTAATAGATACGTATTAGATTAAAATCAAAAGTTATATTTAATAAATACGTATTTTATTAAATTAAAGTTATATTTAATCGCTCTTATGATGCAAACTAAACTCATTTATATAGAGCAATTAAAAATACCAATAGGGTATCTTTTTTATCTCTCCATCAACTCGGCAAGTCCATCTTTACAAAATATAAATACTTTTTAAACAAATTGTTCTAATATTTTTTTAAGTGAACAAAATTTCATAGAGATTTAAACAAACACTTAATTTATATACATTTCTACTATTTATTATTGCGATTTAAATATATTGATTTTAACAAACGATTAAAATTGTAGATGACAGTGATGAGAATCCATATATCAAAACAAATAAATACGTTTGAAATTTCAAATTATTTTGAATGTTCTCTCTTAATCGATATTATTGAAACTTCAACTTCGTAAATTAGTTTATTATATATAAATTTTTTATCTAATTATTTATTGAGAAAAAACAAACATGCTAGACTTAATAGGGGGAATCCCCAACTTTGGTTGAAAGCTCACTTCCTCAAGCGAGGTCGTGGGTTCAACACCCATACTATAGAGATTCCCCTTTCGCCTGCCGGTTTCGACCGATTTACATCCACGACGTGTGCGTTACAGACTCGCATGCGTAGGCCGGGATTAGTCTGAGCTCTTGGACCTGGAAAACCCGACTTACAAAAAAAAAAACATGCTATACTTAATAGATAAGCAACTCCCCTCTTTTTTTTTTGTGTCACTTTACAGTTGCAAACAAATTTCGAAATAGTCTCAGAAAAAAAAAATAGTTACAAAGAAAAAGTTAACACGTCGTCGTATCAGCCTAAAAGATAAAATAGAAATCTGAACAAAATAGAAGAGATTATAAGAATAATAACAATTTTGTCTGAGAAAATGTCGGAGCAAAAATATAGATATTTGGAAAGAAAAAAAAACACGAGGGCAGTTTCGTCATTTCAGTAAGATCTTATGTTAACCCATGGTAGCCCTAGCTTACGCTTCACCCTTATAAATACGATCGCATCCTCATATTTTCTCTACCAGTTGCTTTGCCTCGGCCGCTCAGCTCCGTAGATTTCCGACCTCTTGCTGAAGGTAAGCGATTATGATTATTTCGTTTGCTTGATGGTTTTTTGCTTAATTTTTTTAGTCGTATTTGTGGATCATGGCCAAGCGACTTGATATGTTGTTTCCTCCATCGAATTAGTTCGTTTGCGTTCTGTATTCAATGATTTTCTAGTCGTTCATGTTGGGGTTTTCGATTCTGATGGATTGATCTGATTCGATTCTATGTCGGGCGAGTCATGTTGTATTCATCTGGTTCTTCCTATGGTTGCTTTTGGATCTATCGTGATTGATCTATAAACTCCTCTTTTTTGTACAGTCGCTAGGTTGTGTTATGAGATCTGATAATTATTTGAGTTGTGTAAGAAACTTTGTCGTTTCAAGTCTGCTATATTATTTGTTCATTTGAATTTGAATCTGTTCGGGATATTGATTCGAAACTATTGCGGTTGCTTACGGATCTAAAACTTTTATGTTTTTCTTTCTCAAATTATTTCTGTTTGAATGATTTTTTTTTAATTTTACAGAAGAGATCTCCGTGATTTTTTTGAAACGATTGTGTTGTCCTTTGGTTATCTTAGATCCAGCCTTCCCGTTGTGTATATCGCAATTGGGAGATCACTGGGTCGAGTTATAAACCTTGGTGACAATTGGTTTTTTAAGATGAGCCCGCTTAGCTCAGAGGATAGAGCACCGCAGTTCTCTGTGGTAGAAATCGGTTCGACTCCGATAGCGGTCTTTTACAGTGATACGATTCTTCCTCAAGTTCTTGTCTTTTTGCAATCGTTTTAAGCTATATATGTCTATCTTGTATCCTAATTCCCTGCGATTTAGCTTTATGATTTAACCTCTTTTTGCCTTATTGTTGCTGCAGTTTAATCTTGACAACTAGCCATGGGTAAGGAAAAGGTTCACATCAACATTGTGGTTATTGGACATGTCGACTCTGGAAAGTCGACAACCACTGGTCACTTGATCTACAAGTTGGGAGGTATTGACAAGCGTGTGATTGAGAGGTTTGAGAAGGAAGCTGCTGAGATGAACAAGAGGTCCTTCAAGTACGCCTGGGTGTTGGACAAGCTCAAGGCTGAGCGTGAGCGTGGTATCACCATTGACATCGCCTTGTGGAAGTTCGAGACCACCAAATACTACTGTACTGTCATCGATGCTCCTGGACACCGTGACTTTATCAAGAACATGATCACTGGTACCTCCCAGGCTGACTGTGCTGTCCTCATCATTGACTCCACCACCGGTGGTTTTGAGGCCGGTATCTCCAAGGACGGTCAGACCCGTGAGCATGCCTTGCTTGCTTTCACCCTCGGTGTCAAGCAGATGATCTGCTGCTGCAACAAGGTATATTGTATTAACTATGATGTGTTCCCTGTTCTGTAATTGTAGTTTGTAACTTGTTTCAAAATCTGACTTGGTCTGATCTCTGTTTATCATCGGTGTGCAACAGATGGATGCCACCACTCCCAAGTACTCCAAGGCTAGGTACGATGAAATCGTGAAGGAAGTCTCTTCCTACCTGAAGAAGGTTGGTTACAACCCGGACAAGATCCCCTTCGTCCCCATCTCTGGTTTTGAGGGTGACAACATGATTGAGAGGTCCACCAACCTCGACTGGTACAAGGGTCCGACCCTTCTCGAGGCTCTTGACCAGATCAACGAGCCCAAGAGGCCTTCCGACAAGCCCCTACGTCTCCCTCTCCAGGATGTCTACAAGATCGGTGGTATCGGAACTGTCCCTGTGGGTCGTGTCGAGACTGGTGTACTCAAGCCCGGTATGTTAGTGACCTTTGCTCCCTCTGGACTGACCACTGAGGTCAAGTCTGTCGAGATGCACCACGAGGCTCTCCAGGAAGCTCTCCCTGGTGACAATGTAGGGTTCAACGTCAAGAACGTTGCAGTGAAGGATCTCAAGCGTGGATACGTCGCATCAAACTCAAAGGATGATCCGGCCAAGGAAGCAGCCAGCTTCACCTCACAGGTCATCATCATGAACCACCCCGGTCAGATCGGTAACGGATATGCCCCAGTCCTCGACTGCCACACCTCCCACATCGCCGTCAAATTTGCAGAGATATTGACAAAGATCGACAGGCGTTCTGGTAAGGAGCTGGAGAAGGAGCCCAAGTTCTTGAAGAACGGAGATGCAGGAATGGTTAAGATGGTTCCGACCAAGCCCATGGTGGTGGAGACCTTCTCCGAGTACCCACCACTCGGACGGTTTGCCGTCCGTGACATGAGGCAGACCGTTGCCGTCGGTGTCATCAAGAACGTCGAGAAGAAGGACCCGACGGGTGCCAAGGTCACAAAGGCCGCAGCCAAGAAGGGTGCCAAGTAAAGGTTGACGAGTGAAACCACAACCATATCCGCAAAAGAAGGAAGTGTTGGGAGGAGTATTTTTTGTTATGCGAAAGACTTGTTATTTACCATCGGTTTTATTATTAGTCGCAGTTCTAATTATATGTTGTATAGCTTCGTCTTTCCGTCAGGACACAGTTCTCGGAACTGGGTTCTTGATCGTCGATGGCGTAAGCTTTACGCAGTACCACAGCAAGTGAGTCTGAAACTTTTTTGTGTTATTGTTTTTTTATAATATATTCCTGCGGTTTTTAATTCACTCTCTTGTCCTCATTAATCCTATGATAATAAACGGACCGACACTCTGGTACTTCATTTCCTCGGCAGTTCCGATGCCGAGGTGGTTGTGGCCTACGTCAAGAGCGCTGAAAAAGCGAAGAATTGCTCTCCCTAATGGAAAGCTCTTATGTCAGTTTATTGAACTCTGTTTGGGGAATGTTAACTGATAAAATGCTTTGATAAAATATCAGTTAACATTTTATCAGAGCTTTCCATCAGAGTTAGGTTGGAATGAAGGTTAACATCAACGGGTGTTATTCCAATGTAAGGGAATTAAATTAGGTTGGAATGAAGGTTTTTCTCGGGCATAAAAAGGAATGGTCGCCCACCGTGGGGCTCGAACCCACGACCACAAGGTTAAGAGCCTTGCGCTCTACCAACTGAGCTAGACGGGCTAGTTTTCTACAAACTAATCACAATTATAAAACAATTAACTATCTCGGATTTACCGTTAAACCGCGGCGTTTTAACGCCAACCCATTGAGACTACATTTCATTGGAAAGAAAAAAATAATCATTTGAAATTCCATTCACCAAAAAAAAATAAAAAAAAAATAGAAACATCTGGTTTGGATTTAGAAAGTAGTTTGCTAAGTCCTCGCCTAAACGGTACGGTCGGTACCTTCAATTCAATTGTGTCCTCCTCCAACGACGAGCTCCCTTTCCCCCCAACCCTGAGCTCGGAACTCTGGCCGGATAATACAATGTGGAAGATGACCACGGTGCCATGGCAGCGCGTGCAGGTACGCGCACGGCGATGAGGAGCTCCTCCAGAGGCCGGACGGCACGTGGGATCCAACATCGGAGCGCCCCAAGAAAGTGATGAGGATTAGGGAAGATGACAGAAAATGCTCTGATGGATGAAGATGACGATGGAAATGGCGGGAATTGTGTTTTGGATCCAAAAGGACTAAGAGAGTTGCTTTGTTTTGTAAGAATCTCAAAACTTTTTCAATTACCTCGGGAAATACACGTGGCCTGATGAAATTGGGCCAAGGCCCACTAGGGTTGTAGTTATCATAGGCCCATATAAAGGCCTGTTTTTGCCTACGGTTCCAATTCTCGGCAACCGAACGCATCTCCTTTCTAGTTCCCCGCAAAAATCAAACCGCGAAAAAGCTTCACCATGATCAGCGTCCTCGCTCAGGTTTTCATCCTTAACTCGAATTCTAGATCTTGCTGCTTTCGGAAGGATGTGTTCGTCGATTTCCATTTTTTGTGATTATTTCTCTTAATGCGTCGTTGTATAGGAGCGTCTTCTTGGCGCCACGCTGGGAAGCGCGTTGACGGGGTTCGTCGTCTTCGAACAGCGGAAGCGCATCTATCGATCCATCGCTGATCGTGATTCGCAACCTGGAATCCAATCTCAGGTCAGTGGTTCATTTTGCGATTCGTTTTTTGCTCGAATGTTTTGTGAGTGGCCATCTGGTTGCTGTGGCATTTCAAATCCCTAGATATCGTTCAATATCCTCTGGATTCAGTCAAATTTTTAAATGTCAATCCTATTGAACCTGGGAATGTTGACAATTGCGGTTATCATTCGGAGATATGTATAAGCTAGTAGATTGCTGTATCTTTGGTTTTCGGGAACAGAAGCTGTTTGGCTCATGGTGCAAAGTAATATCTGCATTCGACAAATTTCTTTACTTCAATGAATCCTGTGTTACTTTTTCACAAAAATAGGGCTTGAACACAAGCTGGGTTGTGTCTCAAAGCTGTTGGGTTTCATAGATACAGGTAAGAGAACGCATATTTGGGAAGAAACCTCGCCTGGAAATTGCATCTGTGTGGAACAAAGCCGTGGATCAGACATTTGGGCCTGCGATCGAATTCCTTAGTTCACGTAAGTGGTAGGAGATGGGAGATGGAATAGCTCCTTTTTATTTCTTTTTTTTCCCGGAATTGTGCATTTCAGCGAGACCCATGTGCTCGATTCTTGTCCTTCTCGTCAGGAATTTTTCTGAGATGCTGAGATATACCATTTGTGAAACACTCGGTTGTAGTATGACCCTTCCAAAACAGATCTGTATTTGTATTGTCAGTTTTCTCGAGCATGGAAAATCATGTTCTTTTACTCTATAAATCTCCACAACTTATCATCTTTTGGTTTAATGATCAGAATGCTGGTTTACCATCTTGTGTTTTGTGTTGGATTCTGATTTGTAAGGAGCAGAGATGATCAAGTGCCACATCATGGAGCGAACTAGTAAGTACTATTTGACTGTTAACCACTGCAGATGGAATACAAGCCTTCAAGAGATCAGGGGCATTTTGGTCAAAGCCTATCTATATGCTCTTTCCAATATATATATATATAATGTAAGGGCAATATCGTAAGTACGAAAAAAAGATTCTGGTATTTAGATCATTTTCTCAAATACATCGCTTTGTTTTCCACAAATTGTTATTTTTATATAGAGGCAATGATTTTACAAAACAGGCAAATGTCGACACCAACGTCTCTCGATTTCGATGTAATACACGGAGGAGGACGCGAGATTCTAAAACGAAATGTTAAAATGATGTTTCTTCATTTATCAACAGAAATTGCATGAACATTGCTGTAGTGATGCTCCTCCTCAGCAGCTCTGTCTTCTCTGATAGGTTCGAGGTTCGGACATCTCGACGGTCTCAATTTGATCCGGATGACCGACGGCGAGATCTCCACCGTCCATCTCGGCCGTGTTTTTATCCTACTCGTCTCCATCATCACCAGGCAACCACACTCGATATATTAATTGATGACAATCACCAAGTCTTTTGGGTTTTTTTTTATAGGGTTTTGTAATTAACCCTAAAAAAGAGAAGTTAAAATATAGTTGAAACTGACCTCTTTTTTTTAGGAAACGAATCAATAGGGTTTAAACTGATCAACAACGAGCGGTTATAAAAATTATCATTATTATTATTATGGTTACTAACTTTGAATTTTTTTTCCTTTTTTGGGGTTATATATGGCAATATATTGGTGGATATATGTCCGATTTAGCACGGGGCAACGTTTGGAGTTGTTGCCATACTTGGGCTGAAAGTGAAATATGGGCCTAACATCTAATTAGCCCATCCTAAGTCCAAAATTAAAATGGGCCCATAATTCGAAATCAATACTCTTATCACTTTTTTCGACTTTTTGTCTGAAAATTATTTTATGGTTTATCAGATAAGATTTTTTTTTTATGAAAAAAAAACATCTTATCTGGTAACCATAAAATAATTTTCAGATAAGATGTTAGCAAATCCATACATTTTTTTCTTTTTGTCGAATAAATTGAATTAGTAGTATTTCACTGACGTGTAATTTCTGTATCTGTAAAAAAGTAAAAAAAAAAAAAGGGGTTATACTTTTTTCCAAATGATTTAATGACGCAAATAAGCACAAGATTATATTGGCCATTTTATATATATAAAAAAAAGGATTATATTGGCCATGCAACATTACTGACTCTTGCGAGCGACATGTGGGATATGCTAACGCTCTGTCGTCTCACTCGTAAGGACGCGCAAACCTTGCCGTTTCAGACACCTCACCTTTCCTTTTCCTTGCTGCTGCTATCTGTCGGTGCTTCGGGTTTTGCAGGAATCCAAAACGATGCCGTATTGCCTCGTCCAATCAGCGCGTCAGACCCACGTGCCACGAGACGTACACGAAAGGTGAACCCTCCACGTGGGCTGGTGGCTTGATGTACACGTGTCATCATATCTGATGGCTAAAATCACAGCCTTTATCGCGTTATTCTAGAAACGCCTCGGGTGAATGAATCTTACCATGTCCCGACAAAAACATATTCCCTTAATCCTCTCATCGTACGATATTTTGTCCTCACTCTTGGATTTTTTTTTCCGTCACTCCGATTTTACGGTTTTACCCTCTAGACTTTATCTTTTTACTGTGGACGTAATGCCACGTGCCATCAATAGCTTAGCTGTCGCCTCCTTGCGATGACACGTGTTCATGCAATCTATCGACTGGTCACGGTTCCTTGAGAAAGCAACTCTGTAGGATATTTTACAAATGAATTGATTTCAGCCACCAAAAAAACAAACAATTTATTTATTTTTTTTAATGAAGTTTGGTCCTTTTGTTTTTTTGTTAAATATCGACTGATGGCACGTTCACACAAGTTGTACAGTCTTTAGGGTAAGCTTTTTAAAACGAATCCTATATAAGGCCACGTGAACAACGACGCATTGTTGTTTATTCTATATATTCTGTATTTTTTTTAGATTTTATATTGATTTGACTAATTAGCGATTATCAGAGAGAAACCTAAACAATTAAAATATGAATCTTCCATTTCACCTATGTGCAGTTGTTTTTAATATTGTGGGGTTTATACGATTCGTATACTTTCATTTCTATTTGCGTATGGAAAACCGAATGAATCAAATTTCTTTGTTTTTTTTTAAGAAGAAAAACAGCTTTTTTAGATGATGTCTTTAACATGAAAAAAAAAAGACAAACCATTATCTGTTTGGATATTCCTACCCATTGTTTGGATATTCCTATCCCAAATTAACTTCTATTTATCCAATAAAAAAATGTAAACCTAAGTAAATCTACCAAGTATTAAATTTGTTACAACTTTAGCTACGCATCTTGTGATTTATACCATTTCTAGTTTTCTTGTGAAGTTATAAGAGCAAGACTTTATTGACTAAAAAAAATGCATGAATTAGATCATGATCACTTCACTATAGTAAAAAAAAAATGCATGAGTTCACCTTACCATTAAATTATGTTTTGATTATTTAAATTGTCGTAAAATATAATATTGATTTGATAGTTATATCACCAATAAAACTAAGTGTTTTTTTATCGGATTAATATTTTAGATATGTATCTCACGACGTTTTCTTATATAAAAAAATACTCGATAAAATGTTTAAACCACAAAGTAAAACGTTCCATTTTTCTTGTGCTTTTTTTTTTTTTCATTGCGTGTCGTTTGGATAAGGGGAGAATCCCCCACAGTATCATAACTTCCACGACATCAACAGGGTATTTTCGTAAATTAACGCGAGCGAAGTTTATCCATTGATCTTCCCCGTCAATATATATATACACATACGCAAAGACTGCGACGACTATTAAAAAAAACTCCAAATAAATACACCGAATTCGCCATTGAAGCTTCTTTTATCTCCTTCAATGGCAACCAGCAAATGCTACTACCGAAGACCGAGCCACCGGTTCATCTCCGGCCAACAAACTTCGACCACCGGTTCAGAGTTTGAGCTCGACGAGTGGGATATCTACAGCCAGGGACGCCCATCATCCGAACCGCCCGATTTAGGCTTAACCGATATTATCTCGACCGTCGGTAGAACTGGAGTTAACGGGAATCGGTTTCCGTCCGACGCAATCGTGGGTACGGCCCCGGTAAACGTACCGGACTGGTCGACGATCCTCGGGGAAGAGAGTCGCCGGAGAAGGGTGGCCGGGTCGTACGAGGAAGGAGACGGCCGTGATGACGTGTCAGGAGGCGGAGGAGGACGGTGGCTGCCACCGCATGAGTTATTGGCGCGGCGGAGGATGGCGTCGTTCTCGGTTCATGAAGGCTCAGGGAGGACGTTGAAAGGGAGGGATCTGAGTAGGGTGCGAAATGCAATTTTTGAAATTACGGGGTTCCAAGATTAATATTTGGAAACTTAAAAAAACTTAATATTTGGGATTTGCGGATACTTTTTTTTTTTTGGGGGTTCTCACGTAGTGCGAACGATTTCTTGAAATGCTCGTTTATGTTTTGTTTGTTTTTTTTGCCACTGAGAAGTTTGGTCGAATCCATGGAGATGGCGTTTTGAAATTGTATTAAAACTTTGGGCATATATATATATACATATATGTTTAAATTATATGAAATATTTATATGGGTCTCTATGTATAGTGATATATGAGGCATTTTATCGTTGTTATTAGATACCGAATTTGCACGGGTAAAATCGAATTTAAGTATACAAATAAAATGTAATCGTCGCCAAATCAATTAGTTTAGATCAGATTTAGTCGTTTTTATTAGATATGTTTTAGCATATTAAAAAAAAAACAATTAAACATGAACTCAAATAAATTTATTTACGGGTCAAAACAATATAATGCATACATACCCTTATACGGGTCCTCGGCGTTTTGTGTACGTCGGCTTGTCGTTAAGGAGTGGCGTCGTTTTCCTCCTTTGACAAAGTGACGAGCGAATATCTAAATCAAATCAACTGCCAATATGCTTATCGCTTATTTATTTATTTATTTATAATTGTTTTAAAATCTACTTGGAGAAAAAAATATTTTATTCGTCATCCAGTATTCTTTTGTTTTTGTTTTTAATAATGTAACCACTGTCGATCGTACGTCACTAGACTTGAATACTGATATAGTAATAATTAAAATATACTATTCAACATTTTTTCACTAATATTTAACAAAATTTAGTCTACTAATTGTGTGCTATTGGACAAATCCAAACCACGTAATTATTGCACTCGTTCTCGAAAAAAGAAAAGAGCCGTGAGGCCCATAAGATAAGTGGGCCTTAAGACTAAGTCCGAGGCCCAAACAAAAGGGTGGGTATTATTGGATCCAAAAGATCCGACCCGGCTATCCGACGGTCTCAATGGTGTAGGCGAGGTTGATTTGATTTCTGCAGAGGATTTGCACCCATACCATAAACAGAAAGACTGGTAGTTGAAGAAGACGGAGGAGAAACTAGGTGTTTGTTCCTCCTGCAATCCCTAGATCTCTCCCAATTTTCGCGCCATGACGTCGGATTCGAGCTCTTCTCCTTCTTCATCCGGCACCGAATTGGCCGATCCGAACCTTATTCCTGATCCTAGCGTAAATTTGGAGGGTATCGTCGGTGATCAATTGGCCTCGATGGGACTGGCGGATCCAATCGAAGGCTCCAGTGGCAGTCACACGGAGGATGGAGATCGCTCGCCGGAGGAAGAGGATCAACACGGCTCGGAGATTCCACCGCCGAACGGGGATGGTGACGAGGACGGGGGAGGAGAGGTAGTGGAAGGAGGAGCGTGGTTGACGGCGGGGCATTCGGTGGAAATGGAGGTTGGGGAAGAGCCGTCGAGCCCCACAAGCAGCGGCTACGACGGGGAGCGAGGGAGCAGCGGCGGGACTACCTCCACTTCGAGAGCCGAAGACGATAATCTGAGCGGCGATGAGATTCGAGAAGTAAAGGTGGACGGCGAAGGAGACTCGCACGCGGCGCCGTGGCTGCCCGGGAAACGCCATTTCGACGAGGTGATTTTATTATAGTTCTTTAGTTCTATATGTTGGCGTCAAACGGTTCAGATCATCCTTTAGAGAGGCAATTAGTACTGAGAGATGGAATGCTGTCATTCTGTCACAGTTGATGGTATCCTGTGGAACAGCGCTGTATTTTTAAACAAGAAACACTACTCCTTCATAGCCCTCTAACTTCAGAAATCTCTTGTACATGATTTAGTGAGTTAAGCATGTTTACCCGTCACTATTGGTTATCTACCCGTCAGTCGTCGATGGAATCCCATGGAAAATTTCATTGTTAGATCTTGTTTCTTCTGCAAATGAAACGCAGGATGATGCCTCCATGTCATGGAGAAAAAGGAAGAAGCATTTCTTCATATTGAGTCATTCGGGCAAGCCTATATATTCCAGGTCTGGTTACACCAATCACAGAATGCCAGCATTGTGATCTTAATCCTTATATTAGTTTATGCACTGGGGCGTATAATTCTGGTGAATCTTTTATTGATTTTCAGATATGGAGATGAACATAAGCTTGCTGGATTCTCAGCTACTCTCCAAGCTATTATCTCCTTTGTGGAGAATGGGTAAAATGCACTGACTCATCGGTGGTCTTTTTACCTAATGGTTACTTTTGGTCTTTAACTCTTGATTTTGATCTTAACTCATTACTTTTCCAGTGGTGATCGTGTCAATTTAGTAAAAGCTGGAAAACACCAGGTATATTAATTTCTCATGTTATCATATTGTTGTTTGACCATGATGTCCATAAGAGTTTACTCATCTGATGCATTGTGCATTTGTATTTTCATAGTGAGAGCAAATCTCAAAGCATTTGTGGTCGAATAGCATTGTTAATAGCAACAACAAACATTTTCTGCCTTGTTTAAATGTGGAACATCCTAATCAAATTCAGGTGGTATTTCTCGTAAAAGGGCCAATCTACCTAGTCTGCATCAGCTGTACAGATGAAACATATGAATCTTTGAGGGGGCAATTGGATCTTTTATATGGTCAGGTAACATTGAACTGCTGCTCCACCGGCTTTCTCTTGTCTTTAGCAGTTTTAATTGAGGGATTTAACTAACCAAGACGTAGTGATACTGATGCAGATGATACTTATTTTAACAAAGTCAATAAATAGATGTTTCGAGAAGAATCCAAAGTTCGACATGACACATTTGCTTGGAGGAACAGATGTTGTCTTCTCTTCTCTGATCCATTCATTCAGCTGGTTTGCATCTAAACTTCCTCAAGTTATTGACTTTTTTTTATCCGTTTCTTATTATTGACGTGGAATAAGGCTGCTGGGGGCTGCCATATTCTTTTGGTTTTAACGGCTTGCTTTTCTGGAGGAGGATTTAGATTAGTTTGTCTGTTGTTATTTTAGTAGGATACTCAAATCTGATCTGCATGAAAAGTTTGAAACATGGGTATTTTTTTGTTTGTTCCTTGAATTGCTACTGTGGCACACATACAATATATAATGTTATCACTTGGTTGCCTTGGTTTGAAAGTGATTGATAATCATCTTCAAGCATCAAGTTCAATGAACGAGGAAATATTATAATGAAAAAGTATGTTCGAGATTGGTGATTCTTCCTATTGGGTATTCTCTCTTTTCTGTCTGGATCTAAGCTGTACGCTGGAAATTACCTAACCAACTCTGAGGTTATTTTTGATTTTAGGAACCCAGCTGCCTTTCTTCATGCATACACTTGTCTTCCCCTTTCATATGCGACAAGGCAGGCTGCAGGGGCCATATTGCAAGATGTTTGCAGCTCCGGTGTCCTGTTTGCTCTTCTAATGTGCAGAGACAAGGTAAAACCACTCCATAAAAGGATCTAAATGGTCCAACTCCAAGATGACTTTTCATCACAGTTAAATAACCGGATGTTTGACTGCAGGTTATTAGTCTTGTAGGCGCGCAAAAGGCTTCTCTCCATCCTGATGACTTACTGTTGCTTTCAAATTTCGTCATGTCATCAGAGTCCTTCAGGCAAGTACTAGAAGTTTCCTTTCCTCGACCCTAAATGAACTAAACTTGATGTCACTGGATTTTTTGGTCTTTTGCAGGACCTCAGAATCTTTCTCACCGATCTGTCTGCCAAGATATAATCCTCTGGCATTTTTGCATGCCTATGTCCATTTCTTTGATGTGAGTCATTTGTTTTCTAGTCTTGTCAATAACATAGGAAATGAAGCATCATTTTCCTTTGCATCGCAGGATAATACCTATGTCACGCTGCTTACCACACGATCAGATGCCTTTTATCATCTGAAAGATTGCCGGTAAAATGCCTTTGATAATACACTACCACACATTTCATACCCTTATGAATTGTGATTTTGACATGATGAAAAAATCGATGACTATTCTTATATGCATGAGAATGCAGCAACTATTGAGATTCTTGTATGTGCCAGGATCCTCATTGAAGCTGTCCTTCTCAAGTCAAATGTTCTTAGTGAGGTTCAAAGGTCAATCATGGAGGGCGGGATGCACGTAGAAGATTTGCCGATAGACCGCCGGGTTTGGCAAAAACCATCCTCTGCTTCTCATCCGGGAGAAGATAGAAACCCACAGGATGCTCCCGAGAGATTCAGGGAAGTTTCTGTGGGGACTGGGGGTCCTGCTGGACTTTGGCATTTCATGTACCGCAGCATCTACTTAGACCAATACGTTTCTTCAGAATTCTCGCCACCAATAACTAGTCACAGACAGCAAAAGAGGTATGGCCACGAATCTTCCTTCTGACTTCCTTGATGATATGCTACTGTATTTGCCATTTGGATGGGACTCGATGGGAGAAGATACTGATATAAATGCATGCAGTTTATATCGAGCGTACCAGAAACTTTATGCGTCTATGAATGACAAAGGAATGGGGCCACACAAGACTCAGTATAGAAGAGATGAACACTATGGTAACAAACAGTTTTCTTAGGAAAAAGAGAATATGCTTCGCTCCGAATTTTCCATGATTATCGGTTGTGGTGGTAAATTGACACGGGTTGTTCTTCATAACTACAGCTCTTCTATGTTGGGTCACACCGGATTTTGAACTTTATGCTGCATTTTATCCGCTTGCTGATAAGGTAAGGGTTTAATTACAAAGTCACACACTTTTATCTCCCAGTCCCAGTCACAGTATATTGAACTCATCAAACTACACCGCTGAAACCCTAAATGGCTTAACCCTTGGAAACGTTACGCGATCTAAAATTTTTAGGAATATTTTTGGATCCTAAATTCAAAAATCGAATCGGTAAGTTGTTTAAACTTTGATGGCAGGCGATGGCGATAAAGATATGCAACAAGGTGTGCCAGTGGGTAAAAGATGTGGAGAATGAGATTTTCTTGCAGGGAGCAAGCCCCTTTTCGTGGTGAACGGTGATTACTTCCTCTCTCCTCTCTCTCTCTCTCTCACACACACACACACCTTGTATTCTACATTTTGTTTTGTTTTTTTGGTTTAAAACTTGAAAAATAATCGTGATAATCAGAAATCTTCAATTGTTGGTTCTGTATCTAAAAGGAGGGGAAAGGTTAAGAAAGTGTAATTTTGAGAGGTCTTTCCTTCGCATCTCCTCCCTCTTTTGTGCAGTCAACAAACGGTCGTAAGCTTTTGAATCCTTTACGAGAGTTTTAGGCTGCGTGTGTGCCTGTCTAGTTTTTTTGATGACAATAATCATTTCATTCTTGGTGTGTGTTTCTTTTGCTTGTCCTTCCTTTGGTGAGTTTTCTTTTCCTTGGATTTTTGGCGTTTATTATGTACTAGGCTCCAAAGTCATATTGTTAGAACCCTTGGTTTTCTTAGAACTCTCCGACACACTTTGTTCAAACTGAACCCAACCTTAAATGGAACTGAAAATTAAGATTCCTTTAGCTTCGGCGTTTGTTCAGCAGTTTGGAGAATTTTTTTTTCTTTTTAAAAAAAGTAAATATGTATGTGTGTGTGTGTGTGTGCATATGAACGAGGTTTTTCAGGATGATGCTTTTGAGATGTGAAAGAGTAAATTGGGAGTTTTGGTACATGAAATTCAGAAATTGTATGGTGTAACCATCTAGGTTTTGGATTGGAGTGAAGAGTTGGTACAAATTTCGGTTGTGGGGGGCTCTCTCTTTTTTTCCCAATTAAAATGGGTTCGGCTTTTTTGTTTGGGTGCTTTGAATTTAATGTCCAAATCAATCCTTTGTTGACAATTTACTTTGATGTGAATTATTACGCTTTTAATTTTGTGTTGATAATAAAATCTTTAATGATAGGGTCTACAAGCATTATTATTAGTATTTTTTTTTTAAATTTGCAATCAAACTTGCATATGTTTGTTTTTCTGACACTGAACTTATAAAAATATAAAAAAGTGAATGGTCTAATTATAATTTTGTTTATGTTGTAAATGCCTATGTTATGATAATACCCTCCTCAACCAAAACCCGATAGACGTAAATTGCCGCTTCAAAACTGAATTTACATTTATTTTGTAAAGCTTTTACAGTTTTATTTTGGAAATTAATTAGGTGCTGCAAATTTAATGCAGGCTTTTGGCCCTTCTTTAATAAATCAGAAGTCGTCATCTGTATTTGTTATTTAGCTTTGAAAAAAAAAGATGCCGCGTTGGGGATCGCACTCTTAGATTTTAATGCCTCGCTATTTAATTGACCCCAATCAATCACCACTTCCCTATAAATATAATTCCCCCCTTTTCACATTGGTATCTGTTCAAAAACAAAACCCCATGTACGTGCATAGGTCGCATTTTTATACGAGTAACATGTTCATGTTTTAGAGTTTGGGTTTTATTTTACAGGCTGGCATTATGATAATTAGTAGATAAATAAATTAGTAAAAATATGTACCAAAAGCTGTATTAACAAAACTTTGAACTATTGATTGTGGCTCATCTAGATTTGCCCTCGACGGCTAAAAATAGAAAGCTGCTGCTGATTAGTCTCTCAATGTTATAAGTGGAAAATTAGAAAGGATCTACCATGGTAAACCATAATTGACACAATCATAATAATGTTTAATAATGATAATAATAATAATAATAATATGGTTACATGGGTGGTGATTTTAGGGTTTAATTGGTCAAACTTCATCAACTTTGGGAGATTAATTTTTATTATTGTTCCCCACTAAGGTTAACTATGATTACGAAGTCCACCTTTTTTATTACTGGCAATTAGTTCAACCGAAATGACCGAAACACCCCGACCTTTTCCGGCCACGACGATTTTGTATCGCAAGGGCTTTTCTGTAATTTTATATGATGTTATTGGAGGATCCACGGTTCTCTTGACTTGTGTGTCCACGTTTTCAAAATTGATCAACAGCTATATACGAACACATATAATTATATATAATATATGCATATGTATATGGTGTGTAATAAAGGCCGCACTACTTCTTAGGTGGCAGTTCTCTGTATTTTCTTTACTTTATTAAATTCAATTGTTTACTGTTGTAATAAATTTATGTATAGTTTTCTATATTATGTGGTTAGATTTAGAAAATCATTTCTTATTCTAAAACAATAATGATAACAATATGTTGTTTAAAGTTTGATACTTTTCATAGTACGAATATTTTTATTTTAGAGTGCGTTTAAGCGGTAAATTTTTCGGTATTCGCATTGTATACGAATGGTACATAAATACTTTGAACCGTATAATAGAGAAGGTATAGATTAGGACGTCCAAAAGACGGTACAGAAATTGTATCCATCATACTAACAACATTAGGACTTACTTTTAAATGAAAATTAAATATTTTAAGCCATATAATAAAAAATATGTACATTTGACCTATTAAAAACGTGTATGCCAAAGAAAACAAGAGATGGCAATGAAGTAATTGTAATAGGATATGAATTCATTTTTGTGGTCGCTGATATTAATACGAATTAATTGTACACAAACAAACAAATACAGGATTTATTATATATATAATATATGAAAAAAATACAAATAAAATAAAAGAGATGGGAATCTAAAAAAAAGATCGCATCCATGCAGGCTAACGTTCAGTTGACTCCCAGCGATAAAGCAGATAATAAATTCTCCATTAATATAATCCATTTAAGAAGAAAAAACCCCCCAAAAAACCATCTCTCTCTCTCTCTCTCTCTCTCTCTCTCTCTCTGCAAAGCCCTAAAATTTCTCCGATCTCGCCATACCCATCACTTCCCGGCCGGACCCAGACTCGATTACCCGCCTACCGGACCTGACCCAGTTTGCATTTCCCCGCACTGACCCACTCGGAGTTGGAAAAGATAGGGTTTAGTGTGTGAGAGAGAGGGAGATGGAGGAGGAGAAACCCTAGAAGAGTCCCTGATCTTTTCGGAATCAGGTTTTCCGGCGAGACCCGAAACAGAGGACACGATCCGATTGTGGTTTAACCGGTTAGGAAGTTGACGGAATTGGAGAAGGTGAAATGTACAAGAATCAGCTGCAGGAGCTTGCGCAGAGGAGCTGCTTCAACCTCCCTTCGTACACCTGCATAAGGGAAGGTCCTGATCACGCGCCAAGGTTCAAGGCCACTGTCAACTTCAATGGCGAGGTGTTCGAGAGTCCACACTACTGCTCCACTCTCCGCCAGGCTGAGCACTCCGCAGCCGAAGTCGCTCTCAACGCACTCTCTAATCGAGGCCCTTCTTACTCTCTCGCCGCCAGGATCTTGGTCCGTTTCTCTCTCTGTATTTTGTCTCCGATTTCTCGCTTTTGGTTCGATTTCATGCCTTTTTGCCCGCCGAGTGATGATTTTGTGTCGACTTTGCATGTGGGTTTCTGCACAATTATGTCTGTTGATTTCCAGAGAGGCTTTGAAGTAGTCGGTGGGTTAGGTCTGTTGATTATTTTCCGGCTATCGGAGCTGTTTTCGCCGGCCGTCTTGTGTTGAACGTTTAGAGAATGCCCTTGTTGTCCTCGGAGAACTTCGGTTGAGTTCATGTGATTAATGGCAGTAGCCTCTCTGGAAGTTGTTCCTGTAACATTTTGAATGTTTCATTCACCATTTGGACCTCAGATGATTTCCAAAGTGGAGGTGCCGAGGAGTTCAAGATCTCAAGTTTTGAACCTTATAAATCACCATTGATGTAGCTGGAAATGGATATTATAGTTATTGGAATAGGAAGAGACTAGGGATACGAGAAATGTCTGAAATTTCGGGCCAAAACCCGTTTGTTTCTTTGGTTTAGATTTGGTTATCTGCTCATTCAGAGTGAAATTGGGTGAATTCAGATGCATGCTTCATTATCATTTTGTTCAACAAGTTTGTGAAATTTAGCCACTGAGCTGAGAATGTACTAACTCAGCCTGGGATATCGATATTGTTCCTTTGGAATGCTTTTCATACTTTGTTTGTTAACGTCGGTTTTGTGCAGGATGAAACGGGTGTGTACAAAAATCTGCTGCAAGAAATAGCCCAAAGAGTCGGGGCTCCTCTACCACGATACACGACCTTCAAGTCTGGCCTCGGCCACCAACCTGTGTTCACCGGCATCGTGGAATTAGCTGGAATCACTTTCACTGGGGAGCCTGCTAAGAACAAGAAGCAAGCCGAGAAGAATGCCGCTATGGCTGCCTGGTCTTCCCTTAAACAATGCAAGTCTTTTTCCTTAGTGAAGTTCGCCTTCTCCAATATCGACCGACTTCCTGAAATAAAGATCTTTTTAACATGGTTTACTCTGCTAACTCTGTCTTTTCCTTGTTTGATCTTCTTATTTCGGGTTAACAGTGGCGAAAGAAATGTTGAGTTCTCCATCTGAGCCAGAGAACACCGATGAACTAGAACAGGTGACCATAGCACGAGCTTTGATAAATTACCGTATCAAGGAAAATATTGGAACAGGAAGCTCCTCTAGCGCCTCGGTCCCATTTGCGAAGAAGTTTTTCGTTCAAAACCCTAGACCCACAAGCCCTCAGCCTTTGCATGCCGCCACTTCGAAGATCTTACCCTTTATTTGTCCAAAAGTCGCCTCTAGAAGCAGAACCGTCGCCACATCTTCTGGTGACAGAACCTCGGAGAACCGCAGCTATCGCACTCAGCAGAGATTCCCAGCTCCAGGAGCAACTCCTTATGTTCTGATGAGACAGTTCAGATCAACATGTCATGGAATGGCTCCACCTGTTACGATCAGAACGGCTGTGCCTGTCTTCTCTGCACCTCCAATGCCCCCACCTTCTACCGCCGCTTCCACTGCTCAGCCGCCCTCTGCTTTTGTTCCGTCACTGATGCGGACTGCTGCTCCTGTTAGAATCGCACCGCCCGTCACCATTAGACCTGCAATGCCTGTTTTTACTGCACCGCCGGTCAAAAAGGAAGAACCTTTACCCGTCAAGAAAGAAAATACCGAGACCACTGAAGTTCGAGACCAAGAAGATGAGAGCATGGCATTGGATAACACTGTTTTGCCTGATACTTTGGCAATCGGAGAAGCAGTGGCTGAGAAAACAGATGCAGAAAGTTTTGCAACAAACCCTGAAGCCGAGAAAGTAAACCCGGAGGAGGACGTGAAAGAGGCAGAGAGGACAGCTTCCTCGGGAGAATCCGAGACAGCACGACAGTGCCTGGAAGAACTCGAAATCTGAGAGGAAATTGCAAGAAACATATTGATTGCGTCTGTTTTTTTTTTTTTCTTGAGGTTGGCATCTCTCTCTGTTATGATCTTCTTTGTTTTTGGTTATGATTTCAACTCTTTGTTTAGAGTCCGACAGGGCACTTTCATTACCAGCAGCAGCAGCAGCAGAAGAAGGTTTGTGTATTATATATTGGGAAGTTTAGGAAGCGCCTTTGATTTATAGCGTTTTGTATCAGTATCTTCTATACGCTTTGCTATTTCTGTTTTGCACTTTTCTTTTTTTCCCTTTTGGTTTCTGCAGGCGATTTCGTTACCCATCCATAGGTAAAATCTGTTTATGTTAGCCGATTTTTTTTGTTTTACTGTAGTAAATTTGCTTGTTCTCTTTAAGAAAATGACCCTTTTTTTTAAAAAAAAAAAAAAACTCACGTCGTAGGTTTTGTTTGTGCAGGGGAAAAGGTATACATAGGATTCGTTACCCATACCATTCATTGGATAGTATTGATTTTACAGTCGAACTTCTTAACTTGTAGAAAACTAATCTCTCTATTTAGATGTCAGAGTATAACATAGTCTCTGGATATATTTACTTGGCATTTTAGAGTTGGCCCAAAAACAAAAGAAACATTTTGGATTGCAATGAGCCCAAACCAAAAGTGTCCAATGATGTAGTCGAAGTCGGAACAAAATGTCAACCCCAAGCGTAGGTAAAATCCAATTCAGTTCCCAGGAACTGGGAATGAAGAAGCCAATAACAATGATCTGGTCATCATCCAATCTAATCACGGTCCTCATTTCACCAAAAAAACCTTTACATAGAAACATCGACAGTCCCCTAAGTTCTCTAATGTGACCAAGAATGAACGACCTAGAAAATTTTCACACCAATGACAAAACAACGTGTGTGTGTACATATAAATGTGTGTAAATCCCGAATTCAGCGGGATGCAAGAGACCAGAAGTTGAAAAGAAAAGAGGGTAAAGCAGCAAACCAGCTTACGAAGGCCAGGGCTGTCGAGGTTTCAAACTGAACACAGTGGTTTTGGGCGCAACTATTTAGATCGTTGTCTATGAGAACTGTTATGCCAGCTGAAGCACAGGCTGCTGCAAATGTCAATGTCGATGTAACCTGAAAATTGAAAATGTTTCATTGGATCATCTACCTTCTCCTAACATGATAAAATATCATACGATTTTTCTATTCGGAACTTAATATCTTCGTGTCCAAATCCTTTCCTCTCTTAAATATAATAAGCCTCACCCCGTCGCCAATTGCAAACAAGCTGACTACTTGGCGGTTCTGTAGTGAACGCTTAACCAAAATGGCATAGACATCGACCATGGCCAGTGCAAGACTCCACAAGCTTTGCAAACCAGCAGCTGCAACAAGGTAGCTGACACAGACAAATACAGAAATTATCTTGGAGAAACTCACCAAGTTACTAACTGGGTCCAAAGGCACTTTAGAAAAGTTACATGGTACATGACAAACGGCAGGCAAAGGGTTGTTTTCCCTTTAAATATCTTATAGTGATTCCATTGGCCAACTTATCGATAAACACCTATCACAGAGATGAACAAAGAGAGTTCCCGAAAAAAAAGGAAAGGATGCAAATTCAGCAATTCTGTGGCTGATGAGGTTAACGACACACGTTTATGTATATTCCAATTCTGTAGCCCTCATGAGCGCCAAAATGAATATGATTATGCGACAAAAGGGTCTAGTGAAGTGCACTGTTGAGGTACAAGAAAAATGGTCACTATTATCAGCATGACTCTAAAATGGGGATGTCATCTACCAGTCATCAGGCAGAAGCTAACTCTTACAATCAGACCAAATTCTAAAAATATCAAGCTACTTTGGATCAGGTGTAAAAATATCCACAGACACAAAAAAGCTTCACAACAACCAAAATAAGGGTTGTTCTTGTATGGCATTCTACAGGACTTGACAATAAAAACAACAAAACAGATGCGAATTCTGCTAAGCTTTTCCACAAAGAAACTAATGGAGCCGAACTTCAATTGCCGCCTACTTCTTAACACTCCAAAGTTCAGGCCAAAAGTTCAACCGATTCATAGTAATAACTAACCTCCAACATTCACAGATAGAGCAAATGAAACATTACCAGAAGGCAGTAACGGAAGGGAAATCGCTTGTGGTAGCCATAACACAGAGTGATGCAGCAGCAAACAGAAACTGGAAGAATCGAAGGGCAAGCCCGAGTAGGGTTCCTGGCATGCCTTCTATATTTTCCATCCTCACCCGAGGCACATTATCCCCTTCTGTGATAGGAGGATCTTCGGCTGGATGAACTGATGCATGGCTCACGCTCATCGCTCCTTTCTCCTCCACAACGTTCACCCTCTCCTTCTTCCCACGCTAGCTCCTTCTTGCAATATATCAAAAGAAATCTCAAACTCAGTTATTCTCCCCCTCCATTTTATATCCAGATGAAAAAGTTAGCCAAGACATAGCAAAAACCAGTCTTTAAAACAGATTAAGGAAACCAACTACGTTTTCACAGACTGGAATTAGCCAATACATAACAGATGAACCATTCAACTATGTTTTCACCGATTGAAATTATCTCCGGTCCGATGTTATCATCTCCGGTAGGACATGAAAAATTATAAGGCGCTCGAATAGATTCAACTAAAATTTCCCGAGAAACAAACAAAACGCCGAGCAAAAGCTCTTTTCGAATCCAGTGTTCTCAACACAGTACCAATCCGAAACGCCGATTCCTTGTTTTCCACTAAAGTTTCCCGAGAACCAAACGGAAAACGTAGATCCAATGGTAACGGGAATGAAGCACGTAGATCGAGTAGCGCAGAGTCAGAGATCGATTACCTGAGCCAGGCGGAGAGAAAGAAATCGAGACCGACCATGGAGCCCTCGGAGGAGGAAACAGGGAGAAAAAACCCTAATCAGACCGGGGGAAAGTTAAAGGTTTAGCAAAGACATGGATCAATGGGAGGAATGCGGGAGCCAATATGATCAACAACACAGTCGACGAGAGTAGAGAAAAGGGAAACCATACTCGCGACGTCATTGGTTGGCCATGAACTTTTCTAACCAACACTTATTGATGCTAAATTCCGTTCGTTCCAATTTGATGATTTCGATGTTTTTATTTAAATTGGAACGCATTTTGTCGTGGACCATCGTTATTCATTGAACTCGCAATATTAAATGTCAATAGTAGATATTCATAACATCAAGAGAATATAAATGGATAAATTTACTCCCAATACTACCTCTGTTTCAAAATAATTATTGTTATAGGTTATTTCATATTTTTTAAGAAATATATCTTGATAAAAACAATATTATCATTAATAATTTATTAGAATGTAATAGGGATAAAATTAGAAATTATTATAAAAAAAATATCTTGAAAATATAAAATGATAAATATTTTAAAATATAGAAAATAACCTAAAACTATAAATATTTTGAAACGTGTATACCATTGCCATTTGTTAAGATATAGCAAAAAGGATATATGTATATATAACATGATTTATAAGTCGAGGGACTTTTAATTGAATAGACTCTTTAATATTTCGATTTTATTTTCAAAAGGTTTCAAGTTTCACCTTTTGCTTTCTTGTAGAAGTAACATTTGACAACAACATACCAAAAATGCATATTATTACAACTGTTTGACCAAACATGTATGCGCATATATATATATGTACACACACATTTGTGAATTTGTTTCAGTTAGTATTTTTTTTGTTAGTTAATGTTTTTTATATTTTTCGTTAGTTAATCGTTAAAAATTTGATGAATAAAATAATTTTATAAATTATGTAATCAACAGCATATTTGATCAAACGGTTAAAAAAAAAATTGGTTATATATTATGGTTTGTCAGTGAATTTAAATATTAAAAGTTTGTTTCCACATGCTGCCCAAAAGCCATTTCGGAAAGCCAACACGTGACGCCGATTCAACAAAACAAATCTGAGCCACTTTTTCTGGTGGCAGTCCCGTATTATAACGAAAATAGCGAGGGTAATTCCGTCATATCAATCGCATCATCATCATCATCATCAATGTAAAGGATACGCTAACGTCACCGAAGTCAGCTTCACTGAAGCCGATGGTCTCCGGATCAGATGACACGTGTCGTGACGTTGATCTTGGATTCTATCTCTCCGACAAGGCTGATCCAACGGTTGAAAATCATGCCATGGAGCTGTCCCTTGCGATTCAGTAAAGTCACAGCTCATTTTTAGAAGAATCTGATTTATATATTTTTTTGTTATAATAAAGAAACATTTTTTCTCATCAATAAATAAATTACTTTTTTGGCAGGGAAAGTAGTGCATGAATATGTGTATTGTGACATTTTTATGACTTTTTTTGCAGGGAAAGTAGTGCATGAATATGTCTAATATATTTCTATTGATTCATAATCATTTATCAATACTGTACTTATAGACATAAATAACTTCCAAAATACTAAGTATTTTAAAATTTCACTACCATTATCCCAATTTAATTAATTGTTTAAACAGTCACTAATTTAATCGGTTAAAAGTATACTAAAATTTTAAAGTTATTAAAATCCACTTTAGATTAATTTGATGGATGTGAAATTTACAAATAGTTCATACTTTTAATTAGGTATCAAGAGAATTTGACAGCGAATAATTCAATTAAAAATACATCATATGTTTATATTTGATGTCACAAACCACTGTGCAACTATTTGTATTTAAATTAAAAATTAACTATTTGTATTGAAAATTGTTTATATATTCTTGGGCCGACTGTGAGGTTTATCCCCAAGTCACCGGCAAGTGACTCAAGTCTACCACCATCATCTTATGGTCATCCCCATAGAATCATACATACATACCATAACATGCATACATCAGTCACATCATCATCAACACGAAGAAGAAAGAAAAAATCAGAACGGGTAAAGAAAAAAAAAAGTGAATCGAGAAGTAACGATATAACACGCCGTATTTGTACTTTTCCCCTTGTTTCTGCAATTTGTACCTCGATTTTTCAAAACTTTGGGGAATTCCGATCTCTCTCTCTCTCTCGTCCTGTTCTTCCTCCGTCTCTCTCTGGATCTCCGTCTCCGATTCACCTGAGTTTTCGAGCTTTTCCCGGCTGAAATCGCTGCGAAGAAGCGAAACACCTAGATTCTTCGCTAACTTCTTGGTTGTACGGATCTAGCCTGCTGTCCTCGTTCTTCAGCTACGTCGAAGCTGTTCTATTCGTTCTCCTCGCCGCCATGTTCTGGAAACTCACGGCTCTCTCTGCCTCGTCTCCGGTGAGTTTGGAGATATCCATTTCTCGTCGATGTCCTGCGTCTCTGTTCCCCTTTACGACTTCTTTCAGAAAATATCTTCTTTTTTTTGCGAACTCCTTGGTTTGGTTTAGAGGAGTTGGTGCAGTTCTTGGTTTGCCACCTTGTTGTTTAGAGAGACTGATACGGTTTTGAAGTAGTTTAGACCTATGTTAACGGTCTCATGGATAATTAATGGGGTATTTTTCCATTACCTCGCCTTGAGATTACTTGCACGAATCTTGGATTTGCTTGATTGCATTTGCTTATTACTTCAGAGCCCTTATTGCTGCTACGACTTCTACTGTACAGTCATCCCTATTCTCGCCTGGGCCGTTCAATAATTAATTGCTGCTACAGTCGGTTCTATGGTTTGATTTTGCTATGCGTCCTAGTGTAATCATTGTTAGCATAATACTAATGGTAATAACAAAATATGGGGTACAAGGACTGGTTTGGAGCTTTAAGTCGTCTCTTGGGGATGATGCTAAATTAAGATGCAGGCTGTATTGTTTTGCTTTCATCTGGTTGTGTGATGATGATGGGAGATGTTTCATCTCGTGGATCCTATCCTATCTCATTCTTAATCCTGGTAGCTGGGTTTCCCACCTTATCTGTATTGACTTGCTCTCAAGAATATTGTTAATATGGTCAGTCAATTCAGGCAATCTGGGGCTCTCCGTGTGCTGATATTCTTTTCTGTCTGCGACATATAGGTCGAGTCAATACTAGACAAAGAAAATTTCACATTGGAGGAACTCCTTGACGAGGAGGAAATTATTCAAGAATGCAAGGCTTTGAATAGCCGACTTATCAATTTGTAAGCTATTGTATCTTGTATATTTTTCTGATTTTTGGCCATTTGTTTGTTTCCTCCAATTCTATAAATGTGACTAAGTCTTTCTCCTTAAGGCTGTAGGCTATGTTGGTTAGGCGGCTGAAATAGGAAAAATGGCTTCATAAAACAAAATATGTGTACAAAGATATATAAAGATCTTATTGTTTTAAATTTCAACGGCTCGTTGTTGTTGTTTCTTAGTTGTGGAGACTCATGGCATTGACAGTCCACTTGACAAATTTTTGATTCGGTACTGGTGTTTACAGTATAAGGGATAGAGCTCAAGTGGAGCAGTTACTGAGGTACATTGTTGAAGAACCTCCACAGGATGCTGACAGCAAACGGGCTTTCAAGTAATCTCTGCTTTCTTGATACCCTTCTGTCGTTTTGCCTTCCTTCACATATGGTCTTTCTATTCTTGCTTATATTTATCTAGTGGTTCTTGGTAATGAGTTATTTCCAGCTAATAATGGTTTTTCCCCCTTTTTTCAGGTTTCCATTCATCTCCTGCGAGATATTCACTTGTGAAATTGATGTTATTCTGAAAACATTGGTGGAGGAAGAAGAGGTATTTTCTCATTCATCTAGTCATTTTCCCTCGAATCATGTTTTATAGCTTTTCCTTTATGTGATTTCAAATTTGTTTCATGTTTACGTTAGATCTCGTTTGCTTGCTTAAATTCTATTTTACAGCTGATGGACCTGCTTTTCTCCTTTTTGGAACCAAATCATCCTCATACGGCATTGCTGGCAGGCTATTTCAGCAAGGTACACTCTTTTGCTGCTAAAATGTTTTAGCTTCAAAAATAAACTTTTGACTAACACCATGTTTTTCCCATCTGTTGGATAGTCTACGTGATTTTAGGCTGTGCCTAATATGCTTCTTGCTTGTTGTCGGTTTGATTTAGGTTGTCATCTGCCTTATGATCAGAAAAACTGCAGCACTGATGAACTATGTAAAAGTGAGTAATTCTTTATCACAGAAAGGCTGGTAAACATTTGTTGGATGCATCAGCTTTTAGATTCTTTTATTTCCTCAATATTGTTAGATCAAATGGGATTGAGCCATGTACGTTGAGTGGTACGTGAGTTCAGTCTTTAGATCAGGCTGCCATTTTTCATTAAGGTTGAATTTTTACGAAATGAATGTGTGGAATTATCTATAATAGTGATGATTGAGTTTTTAAGAAATGAATGTGTGGAATTATCTATAAGAGTATACCACGCAGGAGGATTTCTTTCTGCTATGTGCAGATGCTGCGACACCTATTACAGTATTACTTTTCGTTGTAAGCTTGAAAACAATGGTTTAGTTGTTTGTGAAACATGGTCATTGTACTAAGATGTGTATGATGTCACTAAACGTTTCAGTTGAACTGCTGATAGTCTGGTTTGACGGGGTCAAAAATTAAAATTTGGCAGGTGACTATTTGTTTTGTTTGACATGTTTCATCGGCCACAATTCTCAAATTAACTTGAACTTCATGTTTACAGGGTCATAAAAATGTTTTCGGTCAATTGGTTGATTTGATTGGAATAACATCCATCATGGAGGTAATCGGTTGTCTAAAACCTAGTGCAACTTGGTGGCATTAGCTCTTGATGTTATTTTTTTTTCCTAAATTCATGTGTGGTGTAGGTTTTGATTCGCTTAGTTGGGGCTGATGATCATGTGTATCCCAACTTTCTGGATGTGATGCAATGGTTGGCTGAGAGTGATTTACTTGAGATGATTGTGGATAAACTAAATCCATCTGTAAGTAGTGAAGCGTGACTGCGGCAATTTTATTCCCTTGAGAAAGAACCTTGACATGTTTTTTCTGACAATTTTTCCAAACTTGAATCAGAGTCCTGCTGAGGTTCAGGCAAATGCAGCAGAAACACTATGTGCAATTACTCGAAATGCTCCATCAGCTTTATCCACAAAACTCTCTAGCTCCGGGTTTGTAGTCTTTTCTTTCAATTTTTATTCTCTACTGTGTTTTACAGATGTTTAAGAATCGTTTTCGCCTGGTCACATTTCTGCCCCTTTTTCAGCTTTGTTGCAAGGATCTTTGGTCATGCTTTGGAAGATTCACATTCAAAATCTGGTCTAGTCCATTCACTTTCAGTATGCATCTCTTTATTGGATCCAAGGAAATCTGCTGCTTCATCACCCTTGTTCAATTCTTTTAGAGGTCAATACATGTTTGAGTCTCCTCTTCCGGTGACTCAGGAGACCATAGAGGCCATGCTACCTAAACTCAGTAAGTTCCAAATTTATAAGATATCCACATCAAGAAACAAGATTCTTATTTCTCTGATTCTTGTTTGTTTAGTCGGATGCGTACAATGTATGCATGGCTATTGGACCCTTTTATTATGTTATTGTTCTTTTAGTTTCTTATGGCTTTCAATGTGTTTAGCATAGATCTGCATATTATGTTAGATTTGCTTGCTGTATTTTGGTTTAAATTGTAAACAAGCTTGTGGTGTGTTGATTCCTTGACTGCTGGAATTTCTTGCCTAGCAGTTGTTATTCTTGCAAATGTTGGTTGTTACAAGTTTTGCAGGTTATATCAAAATATTCAGGGGGGTTTCTTGGTTATTCCTCAATAGACGATTCTTCAAGATTGTATGTCTTCTTCTACAGGTGATTTGCTTATGCTTCTTACTGTATCATCTGACAGCAAGGTATTGCCTACGACATACGGAGAGCTAAAGCCTCCTCTCGGGAAGCACCGTTTAAAGGTCCGATCCAAAATCTAGCATTTTGAAGTTTGAACTGAAGAATTTATGTATTTATGTGTTTTTAATACGAAAAAATCTCTATGTTGAAAACTGAGCTCATTTATTCATTCTCTCTTTATTTTCAGATTGTGGAATTTGTTGCAGGTTTGTTGAAAACTGGAAATGACGTTGCAGAAAAAAATTTAGTTAGCTCAGGAACCATTAAAAGGATTTTTGATCTATTTTTTGAGTAAGTTCTTACTGAATTTCTGACTCTTTGCTTCCACTAGACTCCTGGTATTTTGATCTGGATGTTGCATGTGCATGATATAAAAAATGCTTAAACACTTTTGGCTTTGTTAAGGTACCCATACAATAACGCTCTGCATCACCAAGTGGAGAGTATAATACTTTCTTGTTTGGAAAACAAAAATGATGCAATGGTGAACCATATTCTTCGAGAATGCGATCTGATTGGCAGAATTATTTCATCAGATAAAAACCCGGTTCTATCTGATGATAACCAGGTATATGATCTGCTGTATTTACAGAGGTTTTTCCGCCACGTTGTGTATCATGTGGCCTTTTGATTTTTGAAGTAGGTCAGTTTAGATCTGTCATCGTGATTTTCTCATTATTATCTACTAAGCAGATATTATCTTGCCTTTTTCTTTTTTTATTTTCTGTGCACTGTAGCCTACTGTACCTGCCAATGGGAAAAAGCCGCCAGGGGTTGGGTATGCTGGCCATATCACTAGAATCTCAAATAAACTTGTTCAGTTGAGTAACAGCAATAGCCAGATAAAGGCATGTCTTCAGGTGGGTATTACAACTCTAGTCTTCTGCTGAGTAATTTATAATTTTATCACTTTACACAAAAAAATAAAATAAAATTCTACTTCATTGCTGTAGTCATGGTGAGTAGCTTTAAAGGCTCTAGTTCAAGCCGGCTCTCCTACTTTTTGAGTTATTGTCGTGTTTACTGGTGAGATCTTGCTCTTTCTCAAATCTGTAGGAAAACAGCGAATGGAACGAGTGGCAAGTTAGTGTTCTGCAGGAACGTAATACTATTGAGAATGTCTACAGATGGGCATGCGGGTATCGCCTATTAACTCATGCTCTCTCATTACTATAATTTGCTCCAATGTAGTAAGCATCAGAATTATCCTCAACCGCATATTTTCTAGACGAATATGATTGCTATTCTTGGAATGATTGGAGTATCGTATGATAAACCCCGTAAAGATTGTCTCATAATGATATGGAGTCTTGTATAATTATTGCTCCTATGGTGATCCAAAAAATATTGTGAATCTGCTCCTGGTGAACCCGTTTCACTTTTTTTTGGTAATAAATGCTTGACCCATCTGACATGCAGGCGTCCGACTACATTACAAGATAGGACAAGGGAGAGTGACGAGGAAGACAGGGATTATGACGTTGCAGCGCTTGCCAATAATTTGAGCCAGGCATTTAGATACAAAATCTATGGAAATGATGATAACGAAGAGGTATTTCCTTGTTTTTCCCCTCTCACAAGTGGGTTTTGCATTTCGTAGATGGTTTTACCCAGCACCATTAAAACTCCCCATCTTCTCTGGTTTCAGGACAACAATGCTCTTGGCAGAGACGACGATGTAAGCTCCCACATTTAGACGTGGACAGTCACAAAATTCGCCTAAAGACATTTTTCGTCTTTGAGAACAATTGTTGACATCAGATTGAGTTCATAATATATGCAGGATGTGTACTTCGACGATGAGTCAGCTGAAGTCGTTATTTCATCCTTGAGACTTGGGGATGACCAAGGAAGGTGAGTTTTTCCTTAGTAAACTGGTCTTTACTCATTTAATCGATGAATCATATTGTTTGTGGCTTTGGCTTTGAAGGTGACTTAGTTGTTGTCTTTTACTTATCGCAGTTTGTTCACAAATTCAAACTGGTTCACGTTCCAAGACGATACAAACAGGATTTCTAACGTCACCAACAGCAGTAGCAGCGATGACGAGGTCGTCGTCGGAGAAGACGACGATCTATCAGAGAAAGCAAAGGACACATCGACATCCACGACCGGAGTCAGCTTCCTAACAGAGAACCCCATGGGATTTTTCAACTTCGACACCTCAGAGGAAAACACAGAAGCAGCCTTCACAGAACGGCCGCCCGAGTGGGTCGGGTGGAGCGAACCATCCGATATGCAAGTCAGCGGATCTGGTCTAAACCCATTCATCGATGGCGACGATGACAATGAGGCTAACACGAACCTCGACGTACCAATGCCTGACATCAAAACCGAACCCGTGATTCCAAATGGATCCCCGACATCATCAACGGAAGGAACGACTGGGAGCAGGGGAACAAGGCAGGCGGTGGGGGCATTGTTCGAGGAGGAAGTGGAGTATGTGGGAGTGGAAGCGGAAGGGACGGGGAAAGCAATGGAGCAGGCGTTGAAGGAAGGGATAGTAGGGGAAGCTGGACCATTGAAGAGGAACATGATGGGGCAGGAGGATCATAAGGAGGTAGCCGAAGACAGCTCTGGTGGAGTCAAAGAGTTCAACGACGCCAATTACTGGAGGCTCGATCAAGAAGTTGTCGTTTTAGAGTGATTTTTTTTTTAAAAGGAGGTACGTATACGTACACTTGAGAATAATCCTTTTTTTTTTGTACAGTTATAATTTCGTATGGGAGAATGGGGGGAAGTAGAAAGAGGAAAGCTTCGGGTTTGAATTTGAATGTAAAAGGAGTTTTTTGGTCATTGTCGGTCACGGTGGTGGTGGTGGTTGTCGTTACCACACTTTTAAATTTTGTCAGTTGTTGTCTGATTGTGTGATATATTTTTATTTATTTGTTATTGTTGAAGAAATTTTGGGTCATAAAAAATTATTAGATACAACCAAGTTCATGATAGTTTAATTACATTTTATTCAGTAAAACGTTATTATTATATTAATTTAAAACCAATTATATAATAGAATGGAATTAAATTAAATATTTTTCACATAACATGTTTAAACAATAAGATCTATTTTAAAAGAATTAGTAAGATCCTGAAAATAAACACTCAAGTCTCATTCTTCTAATGTTCCAATTAAATTTGGCTGATCTAATTGATGAAGAAATTTAATTGTGACATTGACCCCAAAACCCTTTCACATTGACCCTGTTTTTCATTGTCCTTTTTTTTGTCGCCTTGAAGCCTTGTTTTTTTTTCATATAATTAATGGACAATGTTTTTAGTAATTCACCCTTTTTTTTAACACATCTATTAAAAAAATAACTTCTAATAATATTTTTTCAATAAAACACGATACGATATTTTGGATATCACTGGTTCGTCATATCGGAAATCAAAGGCCGAAAATATCGTTGACCGAACAACTAACGTCGCGTGCCCGCAAAATCTTCGACAAACCGGTGAAAGCGGATAAGGAGAATCTTGACCGCACGATAGAATTCCTTTATGCGATCTCCACCGCACACGTGTACTTGCGTATGAGACATTCACGCTTACACGTAACTACCGGCTTCGACGCTAAAATAATTTTAAAATTCAAAATAAAAAATATTAGTGGGACCTACCACACGAACGCGCTATGGATGTCTACTTTTTTATATAAAAAAAAAAACCAGTAACTTACTTTTCATTGTTTTTACTTATGGCCATAAAGTTTACAATGTTAAATTCTAACCCCATCATTTTTCGTTTGTGAGATTAAATTATTTGAGTCGGAATCACATCCAACTTTGGATCACGCGTGAGTGTGCTCTCATTATGCTCACACTTTGATTAATTTATATTTATCAGGAAATTAATTCATAATTAATGTTGTTTTCTAATATTAACATTTGTCATTAAATATTTTTGTTGGGTTTACCCCTCTTTGTGTCTGCAACTTGAATTGAGTTGTCAATCGAATCTCGAGATTGAACATATTTTTCTAAGACCCTTTAATGCATTATTAATCATGCTTTTAATGTTTGTGGAAACATGTAATTCAAAATAGAAACGAGCATCTCTCAAATTTTCATTGGGAAAGAAAAAAAACGACTAATGCTTTGAATATAAAATCAATTCGAAACCATATGTCATATTAATACATTTTTATACATATAACCCCTATGCATATTTTACAGTGTATTGTCCCGAGGAAGAGAAGAACCAAAAAAAAGGGGGCAGATCCCATGAAAATCGGATTGGAACAGAAACTTTTGAAGAGTAAATTGAGGGAAGTTGTTTGCTTTGAAAAGCTTACCACTTTGCTTTTTTTTTTGTCTTTTGGTTCAAATTCACATGCCTCATATTTTGACCATTTGGCTTCTTCGATAATGTTGCTCCTTGAACCTTTCGTTACTATTTTTTACAATTATATATATATATATATATATATATTGAACATTACGTGCATGCGTTTTTTTAATATGTTTGTTATGAGTATGAATTTTTTTAATACCGTGTATTTAATGCATGTAATTTAGCCTATTGACATGAATAATTCGGCACTACTTTACCAATAGATTTTTACTGTAATATTTTTCTAAATTTCAAAAGTTTGAATCGTTTCGAATTGAAAAATACTCATTAGAATCCATATTACCATTGTTTTTTCTATTAAATAATGAAAAACAGAACACGCAAGTTTTATTTATTTATTTTTCCTCGCACGAGACGTAAAAGTCTTGAGAGAAGCTGCGAAGGTTGGAGCAAGTGGAGGGCCCAGCCACCGAAACGGCGGTAGGGAAGGACCGCACGTGACGGATGTCCACGTCATATAAGGGCCCCACTCACTCACGTGTGGTTTCTTAAGACTTTTGCTTTGACTTCTCCGACAACTTTGCTGAGACAGTCGAGTTTTGGCTGTCATGTTTTCCGTATTTTAGATCCCGACGCCCTCTTTTTATTTCTTTTTTCTTTTATCTTCAAACAAAAACATTACTATAAAATGTATTATTCAAAATATTTATCATTTTAGGTTATTTCACATATTTTAAAATATTTATCATTCTATATTTTCAAAATATTTTTTATAATAATTTCTAATTTTATTCATACTAAATTCTAAATAATTATTAATTATAATATTATTTTTATCATCAATAAAAATATTAAATAATAGTATGTATGACTTTTTTTTTTATAAAATATGGAATAACCTGTAACCATGTGTAACTACAAATATTTTGAAAACGGATGAAGTAATTAATAAACTAAAGAATATTTTTTTTGTTAGTAGGGAGATGTGTTTTAGATTTTTAGATAATTTTTAATAGAAAAAATTTTAATTTTAGTTTTAATTAAAAATATCAAATTTCAATAGATTATTAATAGAAATTTGATTTAATAAAAGTATGTATAACTTTTTTTATACATTTTTAAAAATTATGAAAAAAAATTAAGACAATATTTATTAAGAAATGAATGTAGTATATTTCAATGCTGACTGTAGTTCTACGGACATGTAACTACATGCAAACCTCACAGAAAATTTAAAATCGAACATTAATGTAATGAAATCTAAACTTTAAAACTCGATAATGTTTTCTTCCAAAAGTGACCGAAACACAAATACAGTACCATACGGAAAATTATAAATAAACATACAACGCAATAACCAAATAAACCCTAATTACAGCATCAATCAACTGTTTAAGCAAAAATGCTGAGCGGACCGGTCTTGCGAGAGGCGTCTATTCCATTTTCCCCCTTCTGAATTCCGGTTAACCAAGTCCTGTACAAAACCGGGATTCAAAATCAAAACTGAAATCGGTATTCTATCAATGCATAAACCGAACCAAAATTCCAAGAGACCGAAACGTTTGAAGACCTACTTTCTCACATTCTCACCACCAGGATCCATCTTGATCGTTAACCGCTTCGCCGATCTCATGAAATCACTGCATTGAACCGAAACCGTTAATCAATGAGAAAACCACAATGTACCAACCAAATGAAGAACCTGTGTTTTTACCTGAAGGGTTCGTCTCCAATGCGTTTGTTGTCACCATTTCCATCCCGGTACATAACGTGCGTCAATAGATCCAATCTTTCTTCTATACTGAACATATCGGTTAGTGTCCGATACAACTCTTGGTATGACCCCATGACCGATAGATCGAGCGTTCTTCCAACATCTTCGGATTCCATGAACACTTTGCAGTGTCCTGTCTCGAGGTCTTGAAGGCTACAGTTCCAAGTTAACCCATGAGGAGAATGCTTATCCTCTGCCTCGGGATTAGGTTCTTCCAGGGATCGTTTCCTACTCAGGACTTGCTGTTCGGTTAAGATCGGTTGACCAAACAGCAAGAACTGGTGTGTCGTACCAGAACCGGTTTTGTTCTCCTGAACCGGGGAAGGGTTCCCCATCGTTAGAGAGCAAGAGACGCTCGAGATAGGTTCTCTCTGCAGCGGGGAGAGGGTAGTATCGTAAAATCGCGGGCTCGGGTGGTGGTTGAGCTGCTTGAAACCCGGGAAAAACATACCCCGAGACTGGAACTTGTTGCCGGAATAAGTGTTGAGATTGAGATCCGACAAAAAAGACGGTGTTCCGAACAGTTGTTGAGCTTGCCTGGCTCCCTGTATGCCTGCAGGAGCGTTGTTGTTATCGTTGGACGGAATTGGGAACTGGGTCCCGTCGAAGGGGAAATCGAACGGCTGAGGGAACCTCGGCTTTTTCCGAGGGGAGAATGGGGAGAGATGATGGATGGAAGGCATGTTCGACACCACTTCCACCAGCCATGGATTCACCCGTTTCACGTTCTGCAGCAAATCTGGCTCGTCCCACACCACCTGAAAATCAAGAACTCTTTTCAAGAACCTCAAAATCTATGCGATCTGGAACCGGAATCTAAGGCGTTTAATGCCCAGTTGTGTCCACATTTCAGACAGGACATGGAGGTTGTCAGAGGTCGAAACCTGAAGGAGGCGCCATGGGGAGTTAGGCCAGCGGATTGGATCAGCGACCTGGACGGAGGAGACAGTGCCCATGAACCAACTGATCCTGGACGAGTCCTCTGTCTCAAACGCCATCTTGAACCTCATCCCACTGAACCACCTTATCCTCATCGCCCCACGCACTTCCTCCGCCTTCACGCAGAACTCCGGCGTGCTCGCTCTTGGGTAGTACACCACCTCGAACGCCTTCCCACGCGCCGCACGCGCCACCGCTTCCCCCACCGTCTCCTTCCCATCTCCTCCGCAGCGCTTCATCATCAGATTTGTCGTTGCAGCCGTGTTCTCGTCGCCGCGGAGGAAGCCAGAGAATCCGGAGTACGAGTTCCCCGTGTTCTCCGGCGCGGCCAGGCCGCCGCGTTTGGCCCGGCGGATGCCGACGCAGAGGTCGCCGGAATCTGGGTTGCGGAGGAAGACGATGGAGTCGCCGGCGACGAGCTTCTTGTGGTTGACGAAGGTGCTCCAACCGGTGGTGAGGAGATGCCGGCGAGGCGTGCCTCTGTAGATATGCCGGAACTTCCACACCGCGCCGTGGATGTCCTTCGCCACCACCGTCTGCACCGGCGGGTCGGCCGTGTAATCCAAACGCGGAAATATCGTCTCGGCACAGTAACGCGGGGCGGGGAAACCCGCGCC